CTTGGATTGGTTGAGGTAATTGTTTTCTCAGAATTTTTTCACTTCAAAAATGTTTGTATTTTGATTTGGGATCTATCCTTCAGAAGTCCCCAAACAGCAGCAGAAACCTGTGGAAATCATACAATAATTATAGAATGAATACAGAAATACATTCCTTTCTATTTTTAAGGTACAGTTGACTAGCAGTAATCAGCAGCAGTAAGTAGAGGGAAAATGACAGTGACAAGTTCTTTTGTTCCTATTCTGCTTTTTCATATTGTCTTAAGAACTGAACATTCATTCTCTCACATAGTTTTATAAATCTAGGGAAAAGGGCAGAATTATGGGAAGTAGAGGCAGAGTGTCTGGGCTGATGGGCATCTTGGAGCTTTTCTACAAGAGGTCTGCTTATATTTCTGTACAGCCAGGATTCCCAAGCACACCATTTGTTTAATTCATAATTAATTTGGACAATTTTTACACTTCACTGTTCACTGTATGTCAGTTTTTTGATGAGCTAGTTGGCTTTCGGCCGCATTAAGCTTTCTCGGTCATGTAGAATCTGTTTAGGCCTTTTGGTTTATCTCATGGGCAGAGCCTAAAGTACTTGACAGAATTTGACCTGACAGCTTTACAGTTATGTAACATTGAACAGAAGCTTAAAAACAAGAGGGAGAATCAAGGGATTTATCCTTCCTCTCTCCCAAACCTCACATCTTCCCTTGATTTTGTAAACCAGAGTGGAACTGCTATAATGCTAGTAGTTTATGTATTTCTAAGTCAGCCATTATGATTTTGTTTCTAATTGTAAGAATTTAGGGAAAAAAAGAATTTAGATGTTTAGAAGATCTTTAGGATTAGCCTGCCCAGTTGTATCTCATCACTAATGAGATTGTAGAAGCCTAAAGACGGTAACTTGTGTATGACCATAAAGTTAGTAGCAGAGCTGACCCAGAGTCATGGAGTTCCAGTTCTAGCATTCTTTCGAATGCAGGATTGTATATAGAATATTAAATCATAAAATAGTAACAACAGTTTAACAAAAAGAAAATTTGTGCAACTGTATGAAAAACTACTGATGTGTGATTCTGCATATTAAATAAAAGTAAGTATGATGGAAAGTGTATTTTGTTGCCTGGGTCCATATTTTTCCTGCTTTACTAGTGGTGTGATGACTGGTCAAGTTTCTTAAATTGTGAATCTTTTCAGTAATACAGTGGCTTGAATCTGTACCTTAGAGATTTAGGAGCTGTTTTTAAATGATGCTTATGTCAATGTTCAAATGTTGACTGCTATAAATCGGTTAAAGTCTGAATATAATGCTTCTCAGTGTGTCCTACTGACTTTCAAACTTAATGAAGTTTAGCATTGAGAATGGCTAGGAGGAAAAGGGTGGGTATGGGGCAGACTTGGAAACACAGGTGTATGTGTGTGATTAGACTTAAGATTTAAAGAAGTTTTTTTCCCCATGTTAAAACCAATGGTGGGTTTAGTTGTTATAAGGTCTTTGGAGGTGGAATTATTTTTTTTTTTCATATTAAAGCCTGTGATGGATTAGTTGTAAAACTATTCATAAATTGTAGTTTTTAAGTGTTTTTTCCTGGTGTTTTTGTGCTTGTGAGTTTGAGAACATCTGAATTGCCAAATTCAAGAAACAGGACTGTTTTCTACTTAAATTGTGTATACAAGTAAAGAAATAATATTTGATAATAAAATCAAGCTCAAACCTCATTCTGAAAAGGTCTAAGAATGAAGGAGAGAACCCATTGTTGTCATTTGCTTTGGCCTGTAGGAGAGTCATACTGAACAGCCCATAAAATAAACTAGGGCATTTCATTGTTTTCCTTTCCTTCCCTCCCCTTCCTTCTGCTTGTCTCTGCTGTGACCTTCCTCCTGCCCAGCCAACCCAGGGCTTCTCACTTGCTTTCAGTCTGGAACGTTAGGTATTTCCCTAAGTGGTTTTTCTTTCTTTTTTTTTTCTTTTTCATTTTGAATTTATTACAAAAAAAAATTGCCTAAATTAACCTGTGTCACCTTTGAGCTAACAGGACTAGAAAATTCTGTTGATTTTTTAAAAAAATTCTTTTATACTTTTATAAAAATTGAATTTCAGGGGCTGGCAAGATGGCTCAGCAGATAAAAAGGCACTTGCTGTCAAACCTGACAACATGAAGGGTGGGACCTACTTGGTAGAAGAGAAAACCAATTCATGAGGTTGTTCTCTGACCTTCAGACAACCCAGGGACACACCCCCTCCCCCAACAAAACAAAACTAGTCAATTAATCTATAAGTCAAAGTTGGAGAGATTGTTAATAAGTTTTACAATTAGGCTTTCCAATTTTTATTTTAGGTAAATAAAAATGGGTTAGAGTGGAGCCCAGGTGGCTCACAGGTAAAGGAGTTTGATACTATCCTGAATGCCTGAGCTCAGTTCCCAGTACCCACATGGTAGAAGGAAAAACTTGACTCCTTGCACAGTGTCTTCTCTCTTCTACTCAGAAGCCATGGCCTGGACCTGGCATTACAAACTAAAAAGTGTATGATTCCGGGAACTCTTAGAGCAGGACAGTGTATCCTAGTTTTGTTCTTAACTTTTTTAAGAACTGGTAGCTCAGTAGTTGTCACAGGTCATCATTTTACTTAATTTCTAAAAAAAAAAAAAAAAAAAAAAAAATGTGAGTATGTGCGCTTTTTTCTGCATGTGTAGCTATGTACTGCCTGTCAGGTGGCTATAAAGTCCAGAAGAAGGTGTTGGATCCTCTGGGACTGGGAGTTATAGAGGGTTGTGAGCCTTGGTTTTAGTGAGATTAATTAGCATACCCGTGTAGACCTAACAAAGGAGGGCATGTGTCTAGCCAAAGATTCCATAGGCCTCTCAGTGGGTTTATTCAGCATTGCTAAATACTGAAAATAGCCCAGCTGTCCTTCAGCAGTAGAGTGGGCAAATAAATGATATTTGGTAGAATACCACATAGCCAAGAAAAACCCAAAACATTTTAACTGGCAGCATTTGTGTTTCCTACAGAAGCCATGTTGAGCAGAGTTAGTAGAGAATATCCTAAAAGATTTCAGTTCTAAGTTAACTAAATTAAGCAAAACTAATTTTTCACTTAATCCTAAGACTGTGAAACAAATCGCATTTAGCAAATCCTTCCCCACAGATGGAAGAATGTTATCTACTCAATTTTCAAGGCTCTTACATGGATTTCTGTATCTTGTTCTGTCATTGGCTTATGTGACTGTGTCATCACAGTTATGGAGGTGTTGTTTTTATTTCTGACTTTTAAGGGTTTTCCTAGCTATTTTTCTTGTTTCCTCTTTCATATTAACTTTAATCAACTTAAGTAGCCTCAAGGGAAAGAAGACAAAGATATTTTCATTAGTATTGTGTTATATTAGGCCATTTTGGGGAGGATCTTTATCATATTGTTGATAAATGTAAGCTTATTTTTGCAATTGTAAATAAGATCGTCTTTTCTAGTTTTAATTTCAATTTTTTTTAATAGTTGTGTTTTGGGTCTTATTTTCTTTCTCTTTCTTTTCTTTGTGCCTGGAACTCATTATGTAGACCACGCTTGTCTATAACTCACAGAAATCTGCTTGCTTCTGACTCCTAAATGCTGGGATTAAAGGTGTGCACCATCATACCTAGCCCTAAAGTAAACACTTTAAAGAAACAAAATGAATAGCAATTTTTTATATGTTTTTCATTTTCTTCTACAGACGTTTATATATGAGGTGTATCTTACACACCACAACATTCACCCATTGTAAGTGTATATAATATAGTGGTTTTTGTTTTTCTCTCTATGTGTGTATGTATGGTGATTTTTAAAACATTTATTTATTTTATTTTTTGGTTTTTCAAGATGGTTTCTCTGTGTAACAGCTCTGCTATCCTGGAATTTGCTCTGTAGACTAGGCTGGCCTTGAACTCATAGAGATTTACCTGCCTCTGCCTCCCGAGTGTTGGGATTAAAGGTGTATGCTATATAGTAATTGTTTCTAAAAAACAGGTTTGTAGGGTTGTTTATTAGCTGGACTAAATTTATATTTTTATTTTTATTTATTTATTTTTTTTAGCTTGCTGCAAACTGCATGAGGCTTTATTGTAATTTAACGAGCTAACCCCATGTTAGTTCGGGTCTTTTGTCCACCCACCATGGCGGATGGCTACAAAAGACCTATATTTTTATTTCTTGGGTTTGGCTTTTACAATTAACTTGATTTAAAAATATGTATCAAACTATGGACCTAGCACTTAGTAGATTTGTATCATTCTAGAAAATTCCCATGTAGTAAAAACAATTAGATTTATTGATTTCATGTGTGGTGTTTTAACCTGCATGTATATATGTGTACTACATGTGTACCTGGTGCCAGTGGAGGTTGGAAGAGGGTATTGGATCCCCTGGGACTAGAGTCTGTATGGTTGTGCGCTACCATGTGGGTGCTGGAAAACTGAACCCAGGTCCTCTGCAAGAGCCACAAGTATTTTTAACTGCTGAGCCATCTCTCCAGCCCCAACCCCATGTCACTTTATAGTGACTTATGTTGAGGGGTATGTAAAGGGCATATTTACACACATATTTTATGTATATGAACATATGTGCATATCTATATATAAACATTTACAAACGTACCCATGAATTCCTATTTCATTGCTTATTTTTTGTTGTTATTTTGGGAGGTCTTACATGATAGCCTGGGCTGGCCTAGAATTCTGTGTAGTCCAAGGTATCCTCAGACTTGACCAATTTTTTTCTCCTTAGTCTTCATAGTGCTTAATTACAGGTGTGAGCCACTATGTCTGGCTTTAATACCTGTTTTAATATAAATGAATAATTCTAGAAAGTTTTTGACATATGTGTCTAACAACTGACTATCTATCTTGGCCTCATGAAATAAAAGTATAGAAGTCTCCTTATAATAAAATAGGGTATATTACAGCAGTTTTTTTTTTTTTGAGTAAGAAAAGATGTCATTCATTCTAAGTGTATTGTTCCATGTTTGTTAGAGGATGGCCTTCCCTGTGGATTTGCTGGATAACTGCACACATGAGGAATTGGAAAATTCTGCCGAGGATTACCTCTCCAACTTAAGGTGTGGAGACCCTGAAAATCCAGAGTGTTTTTCTAATGTCAATATTACGGTAAGGCATTCTGCAGTGGATTTTTGTTTGTTTGTTTTTAAACCAAACTTCTAGTCAAGGTTACATATGAAATCAGTGTCTTTTAAAAATATATCAATGTAAAAAGATTCAATTTTGAAATATTTACCAGAAATCTATCAGTAAAATGTATTAATATTAACAAATTGAGTGACAGATCAGGGTTTTTGCTGTGTGTAATGTGTGTGTGTGTGTGTGTGTGTGTGTGTGTGTGTGTGTGTGTGTGTGTGTGTGTGTGTGTGTGTTTGCATGTGCATACGGAGGCCAGGGGAGGACATTGGATGTCTTGTATTGCTTTATACTTTATTCCCTTGAGACAGGGTCTTTGACCAAACCTGAAGCTTATCATTTCAGTTAAGCTTGCTAGCCAGTGAACTTTCAGGGTCCTTCTGTGCTCCACCCATCCCCATGTTGGGGTACAGGCATGAGAGCATGGCTGTGCTTGGCTTTTATGTGGGGGCTGGGTTTTTGAACTCAGGCTCTCATGCTCAGGTTGCAAGTGCTTTCCCCACTGAGCTGGCTCCCAGCCTCTCTTTGAAGACAGACAGACAGGTCTTTCGTTACTCCAGTTGTTTTGAGGCAGGGTTTTCTGTGGTTTTGGAGGCTGTCCTGGAACTAGCTCTTGTAAACCAGGCTGGTCTTGAAGTCACAGAGATCCGCCTGCTTCTGCTTTCTGAGTGCTACGACTAAAGGCCTGTGCCACCACCGCCCGGCACAAATTTTCATTTTTTTCCACAAGAAAATTCTTGTAGAAGTCTCTTTTTCATTTTTGCTAGTTTTTTACTCTTTTTGGGAGAGACTAGGGATATTTATTATCTTGTATGAAATGGAGCTGTATATTAGAATAAACTCGAGAAAAGCTTAATTTCTGGCAAATCCTTTGGTATTTTGTTATGTATTTTCATTAAATTTTCCACTAATCTTGAGTCATCATTTCTTTCAGATGCCGATCAGCCTGTCAAATGTGGGCTTTGTGCCTCTCTATGGTGGCACTCAGACCCAGAAAGTTCTTGCTCTCTTTGCACCCGAGGATTCCCTCACAGGTCTCTTTCTCACTTTGTCTTTGTAAATTGAGGAGCTTGAATTCAAACTGTTAGGAATTTACTGAGAAAAACATGCGATAATTTGTTGTATTAACTTTTCTCAAATTTCAGTTTTAGAAAAATGTAATTCTCAGTTGCTTATAATTAAACATTTAATGAATGAAGTAAAATGAAGGTATAAAGTGTGAGTCTAGGATCCAGGGAGAAGGGGCTGTAGCTGAAAGGTAGAGCAGTTAACCTGGATGTGAGGGGTGTGGATTTGATTCTCAGCATGACAGAAATGGAAAGCAAGCCAGAATGGGTGTACTCTATAGTGTGTATATAGTCCTTAGCAAGCAGCTCTATTATCTGTTTTAACCCTTCAGACTTAAATGTTAATGGCCATGTTTCTATTTTAGCTGTGGCACTTTACCTTGTTGACCAGTGGTGGGCCATTGATGATATTGTGAAAACATCTGAACCTTCCAGAGAGGGGCTAAAGCAGGTAATCAGATCATGTCCTTCAGTGATTTCTGTAAAGTGATAGTTTTTGAAGTTGTTGAACTTTCTCCCATTTTCATATAACCAAGTTACACTGAACTCCTGGGGTTTCTTATGGTGAAACCGGGAACTCTGTTTATATGATCCTTTCTTTTCTGAGAAGTGGGAGAGAAGAATGGGTTCCCTGGGTTAGCTGACTGAGGCTCCCTGCCTCTCTCAACTTAAGCCTTCTGTTTGGTGAAGGAGAAGCTAGTGTTCTGGTGTGGTTGCAGTTGAAGCACACCAACTGGAAGGAACTAGAAGCATGCCAGATTTTGACAGCTCAGATAGGCTGTGTTGCAGTTCCTTTTTTTGAGTTTGGAACTCTGAGAGACATCAGACTCAAAGGGAAGGAATTTTAGGGAAGTAGTATGAATCTTCTTCCTTCTGGATATTGTATTTATTCATAAAAAGAAGTCTTAGCGTAATATACCTTTAGATTCCAGAGTAAGAGGCCCATGTGGATATCTGCCCATCTCTGTAATGCTGCCTAGTCTTAGCCAATATAGAATCTTGGAGGCTGTCCTGGAACTACAGGCTGGTCTCGAAGTCACAGAGATTCACCTGCATCTGCCTCCCAAGTGCTGGGGCTAAAGGTATGCACCACCAACGCCCCACTTTTTTTTTTAATCCCAACACTCTATTTTTTTAAGATTTATTTATTATGTATACAGTGTTTTGCCTACATGTATGCCTACAGGCCAGAAGAGGGCACCAGATCTCACAGATGGTTGTAAGCCACCATGTGTGGTTGCTGGGAATTGAACTCAGGACCTCTGGAAGAGCAGGCAGTGCTCTTAAACTCTGAGCCATCTCTCCAGCCCCTAGGGGGAAGGACTCTTAAGCATATATAAAGCCATAAAGTAGGTGTAGATAGCAGTGCAAGAGTGTGACTTGTAAGCTCTGACAGTGGAACTCTACGTAAAGAAAGGAAATAAATGCCCCCATGCAATTGAAAATGACTGAGTTATGGCATCTTATAGAGGACATCTAGACAAAAGTTAAAGGATAGAGAAGGACAAATAGATGTCGTGTCCTCTCCTACTCACAGGAAGAAACTAAAACCTCCAGGTGTGGACTGGGAAAGGAGGATGACCTAAGATTGAAAATGCCTTCAGCTCAGTATGCATTTGACAGTGTCACCTCTGAGAAGTAGGAAATCAGTGAGGGGTGGGACAGGAGGACCAGTTGGTCTGTCAGAAAAAAATGGTAAAGTCACAGGAGGAAATAGCTTGTTTATAAATGTATGACCTTGAGAAAGTGACATTTTTGTTGTAGACCTTATTTTCCTCTGTTTTATTTGTTGTGATAAAGTTAAATTGAGATAATAAAGATTATAACCCCATGTCTTGAACTTATGTTTAGTTATATATGGATAGAGATCCCCAGGCTCATGCTAAGAGACGTTCCCCCCTTTTATGTCCTGGTCATCATACTACCAGTTCCTTGGAGGACATGGATGGCATGCTTACTAATTAATTTTCTGTGTCCCTGTGCTAAATGAAGGAACTATTCCCTGAAAAGCAGAATCCAGAAACAAAGATGGAACCTGGGTAGATTTGCCATTTTTCTGTGATAAAATACCATGACCAAGGTAGTTTATGGAAGGAAGGGTCCATCAGGACAGGAATGCATGATAGTAAGCATACATGGTGGCCAGAGGAGGAAACTGAGAAACATCCTGAACTAAACTCCAAAGCAGAGAGCAACTGGAAGTAGGGCAAGGCTGTATTATCTCAAAGCCCATCACTAGTGACACACTTTCCCAGCAAGGAGGCTCCCCAAAGAGCTCCAACACCTGGGATCCAAGTGTTCAAATTCTGAGCCTATGAGGGACATTTCTCCTTCAAAGCACAGCACTGAGGATGTATCTCGGTTGGTAGAGTGCTTGCCTAGTATGCACGAGGCCCTGGGTTTGATCCCCAGCACCTCATAAAGTGTGTGTGGTACCATGCCTGTAAAGTACCTAGGAACATGGGAGGATTAGGAATTCGGGGTCATTCTCAGCAACAAATAGGAGCAAATGAATTTAAATAGGAATAGATGTAAGATAATATATATGTGTGTGTGTGTGTGTGTGTGTGTGTGTGTGTGTGTTTGAGGAAGATAAGCTATACATGCACACTACTACCCTCAAACTAAAGTGAGAAAAATTTGCCTTTAGATAAATGGAAGTGAAATGAAGCTAAGAAGCCTTGGTAGCAAGCTCACATTATTAGCTCCATATTATCTTCAGTGTTTTTAATAAATGTATGCCAAGTGTGAACAGAGATAGTATAGGGTCCTAAGCATTCCTAAGGGAAAGGATGGGGATTCCAAAGTTACTTTCAACTGGCTTTATTGTATTTCTTCAGTAGTTTAGGTTGCATTGGTATAAATTGAGAACATTATGGCTATCTTCAAATGTTGGTTCTCCATGTGGCTGCATATTATCAAAGAATAGCCATTGGAAAGTAGATTTCAGCTAAATGTGAGAGGGAGTTTTATGTTGATTAGTGCTACATAAAGAAGTGGCCTTGTCAATTAGAGATAGGCTGTTCTGCCATTTCTTGTATTGTTTGGCTTGGGTGACCCTGCCAGGGGTATTTATTTTTGGAGTAGTGTGTGCATGTAGTAATAGTTTCTTTTTCTGCACAAATGATCGGGACAAAGTTGTTTTCCTTTACAACAGTGATTCTCGACCTGTGGATTTCAATCCCTTTGGGGGGATCAAATGACCCTTTCCCAAGGGCTACATATCAGATATTTACATTATGATTCATAACAGTAGCAACAATTACAGAGTAGCAGCAAAAATAATTTTTGGTTGGGAGTCACCACAACATGAGGAACTGTGTTAAAGGGTCACAACATTAGGAAGGTTGAGAACTACTGCTTTAAGGGGACTTGGAAGAAAATAGACTTTATAAACAGAAGTCTTGTTACTAGCATTAGAGATGTCTGGGGAAAGCTGGCTTTACTAACAGAAGGCTGGGGGTAATCGTGCAGTGCCTGTGATAGTGGCTCCATGAATGAGAGCTGGGCCCCTGTTTTCATTCTGTGCCTCAAGTGTGTTCCACTGGATTTCCTGCTGTCACCATATTTGCTCAGTTGCTCTAGCAAAGGGGTGTGTGGGTGAGAGGGCTGGGTCTCTTCATAGCAAGGATAGGGCTATCAAAGGAACATTTCACCTGAAAAAGGAGAGAAAGATGCCTTTCTCAAGGGATACTTATGGCTGCCTTCATGAAATGAGGTAATTGTTCTGCAAGTCTCCTGGGAATAGTTCTGGTTTTTAAAATTATATATATTTTAATATAGGGGCCAGGAATGAAAGAGGGTAAAAGAGGATTGAAACAGAGTATGTAGTGGGGGATAGTAGTTAGGGCCACAGAGACCCCTTGGATCTGGGCAGCTAGCATCATGAAGACACTGCACTGAGTGAGATGCTGGACAGTGTGTGCCTGGGCATCTGTTTTGCCCAGTTTAGAATTTGCTACAAAGCAGCATCCCGTGCGTAAAATGTGTTTGTGGGAATGTGCTGTTCTTGTTAGGAGTGGTTAGCCTTGATTCTATGATAATAGGATGTATTTGAAGTACTCTGGAGCTGTGGGAGCTGGGAACAAGGTGATTGCTATTTTCTAAAAGCTGCATATTGTAACTGCTGTGCCTGCTGTTTGACTCTCTTTGTAGGTGAGCACTCTTGGAGAAAGAGTGGTTCTGTATGTTCTCAACCGAGTTATTTATAGAAAACAGGAAATGGAGAGAAATGAGATCCCATTCCTATGCCATAGCAGTACTGACTATGCTAAGATTCTGTGGAAGAAAGGAGAAGCTGTTGGGTTTTACTCAGTTAAGCCTACAGGTGAGTTGTACAAGTTACTTAAACCGTGTTACAGAAATCTCCATTTTGACCCGCAGCTGTGTCAGTGTCTTAAATTGACCACTAGAATGCAAATTGAGATGCTTGCACTTAAGATTTCTTGGGAGTGTCACAGTTGTACTATCCAACAGAGAGGATTGTTAGGAAAGTCTTTTGAATAGGAGACACTAGACCTTAGACCCAGCAGATGCCCTTTCTGTGTATATGAGAGAAGAGGGTCATTTCACCTTTGTCTTTATAGCCCTGCATCTCCTTCCATTTGAAGGCTGCTGCTTTGATTTCTGCTGCTGTTCCTATTACTTACTAAACCCCCATGGCCTACAGACATTGCCATTTCTACTTAGGATGCCCAAAATAAATACAGATTCATTTTTTTTTAGTTTTTTTTTTTTTTTTTTTTTTTTTTTTTTTTTTTTTGAGGAAGGGTCTTATTCTTACTCTGAAGAGTTTTGAGTATACTGTTATTTGATGTGTTTTGGGGCTCCCTTCTCTTCTGGGACTTGGACTCTGCTCTTGCTAATCTGGAGTTGACTCCATTTTATACCCTAGAGCTGTGAGGTGCTACCACAACTCTGCAACTCCTGCTAATTTCAGCATTCTCCATTCTAATAGCCCAGTCTTCATTGTTTTCTTTGCCTCTTAAGCTCCATCTCCCTCTGCTGGGTAGTAGTAGAATTACGGGTGTTTATGACAGCCTTTAGATAAAAGTAAATAACTTTATTTCAAGGGAGTCCTTTTTCTCTAAAGGAAACTGAAGTGTAACAATATTTTGAGATACTGTCTCAAAGAAAAACTGAAACACCCTTACCTTCTTTCTCACTTTCTTTCCCTCCCAAGTACATAAAGATACACCTGTAGCTGTAAGATAAAGTGTGTGTGTGTGTGTGTGTGTGTGTGTGTGTGTGTGTGTGTGTGTGTGTGTGTATGCACTGGAATGCCACAGTGCATGAATGGAGGTCAGAGGACAGTTTGTGGAAGTCAGTTCTTACCTTTCAGCTTGTGGGCCAGCAAGCACCTTTAACTTCTGAGCCACCTCATTGGACCCTAAACCTTTATTAAATAAATGCATAGTTAAATGAAATCTTTTGAAGTAATTTATTTCTTGATTTTTATTATCGGCTTTGGTGGAAGACAAAAGAACTTGTTCTGAGGAGGTCAGAGTCTTCACAACATAGTGACTGACACCCAAGAAACCAGAAATTATTTTCGCTTGAAATAAAGAGATTACTGTGAGGCATTTCTAGTTTGTTTTCCATGTTGAGTAGTTTTGTTATAAGGGTACCTATGGGGTTTCGTTTGTTTATTTTTTTAGTTTTACTTTTTTTTGAGACAGGGTTTCTGTGTGTAGCCCTGGCTGTACTGGAACTTGCTTTGTAGACTTGCATCAACACATCTGAGTTGGCACTAATTCTTTATATCTTCTAATAGGGAATAAACGTCAGCGTGGATTTTAGACCATACTCCCACCTTCTCATCCTCCTTGTGCAACTCTCCCATCATTTTAAAAAAGGGTAGATGTGTATTAATTGGATTCTGAGATGTTAATGTGGTCTTGAGGAAGCAACTCAATTTACATTGCAGAACCTCTGAAACCTTTCTGAAACTGGAAAGGTCTACTAAAAGTGGTGGAATTTAAATAAAGTCAGTTTAGCAAATCCTGTGTATTAAACATGTTAAATTTCTGGTTTTGACAATACTCTGGCAATATAAGATGTTTGTATTGGGCAAAGCTTCGGAAAGGGCACATGGGAGCTCTTTGTTTTGAAGCTCTTTTAAATGAATTTTATTTATTTCTATTATGGGGGCAGGTCCTGGGACCACCATGGAGCGCATACAGAGGTCAGAGGACAATTTAACTGGACTCAACTTTTTCCTTCCACTTTGCATGGGTCCCAGGGTCAAACTCAGGTTATTAGGCTTTACCATAAGCACTTTATCTACGGAGCTATCTCACCAGCCCTGATCATGCAACTTTTATGTATAAACTTTTTAGATACCACAAAGATATGTGAATATATGCTATTTCAAGTTTATTTTAATGGTTAATGAGCAAATAATTCTTTGGGATTTGACTAGGTCAAGAAGAGGTGGAAGATGAAAAATAGCAATGCTTATGTTAGGTCATTCTGCTGTGACACTGTCAGAAAGCCCACCATGCACACAGACATATAACAGTTGCTTCTAAAGCTATGGTCTCCACCACACCTTCACCAAATGCGGCCCCTTTACTTTGGACCTTCCAGACTCTAAAATGCTGAGAAATACAAAGTTTTTCTTTATTAATTTCCTAGTCTCAACCAGGGGTGGTAGCGCACACCTTTAATCCCAGCATTTAGGAGGCAGAGGCAGAGGCAGTCCCTGAATTTGAGGCCAGCCTGTCTACATATTGAGTTCCAGGACAGCCAGGGCTATACAGGAAAACCAAATGCTCCCCCCAAAACAAACAAAAAATAAGCCCACAAAAAACCACCCAGTCTTGGGGATTCTGTTGTAGCAACATAAATGTATTAACCCAGAGACCTAGGAAAGAAACACAGGGTGGCTGTAGATAGGACAGAGGGCAAAGGTAAATTTAAATCAAGGCAACTTTGTCTACTATGGAGCATGTGTTTCTTCCAGCTGAATTCTTCTTTGGGCTTTCTGTCACACAAAGCTTCAATGTATTCCAGGAGGGTCTCAGATTTATTGTGTAACTAGCTCAGGATGACTTTGAATTTCTGATTTCTCTGGCACACTGTTGCTAGGGTACTTATCTTTGAAAATGAGATGTGTTCTTTGGGGCATGTCTAGCTATCTGAAAATACAAATGCTCCCAATAAGGACTCTGTTAACTGGGGAGGTAGGGATGACTCAGTGCAGACAAACATGGTTTCATGCCTCAAAACACCCAAAATGTAGTGAATGTGACAAGTAACCTTCCACCAAAAACAAAAAAAAAAAAAAAAAAAAAAAAAAAACCCTACAGTCAGTAGACACCTAATTATTCATGTTGATGAGTCATGTATTGGCAAGAGTAGTTGGTGAAGACTAAGCACTTAATTGTGCAAGAGGAAAGTGTCATTAAGAAAGATTTAGAACTATCCCTAGAAGATCAGTAGGTTATCAGAAGTTAGAGATGCAGGGACGGGAAAGGGCCATGCTAGTAATCACACACATGGGATCTAGTATGTAAAGGAGGGTTGCAAATGTGTAGGGCATCTTGGAGTAAGCTTGTGGGACTAAAACATTGGAAAGAATAAAGAGAAGAATCTTACTATAGAACAAAGCACCAGAAAATTGGAGGGATGCAGATGAAGGTCACATTGGGAAGGGTTGTAAAGGCAGTATTAAGATGGGTGACATTTTATTGTCTATGAAACTATCAAAGAACACGTTAGGGACATGGTTTTTGTAACACTTGACTGGCATGTAGGAAAGTTATCTTTTGAAGTCAAAGACGTCCTTAGTATATCTGTAGTAATTCAGATGAGGGAAGGGCCCAAGTGAGGACTGTAGTAGTAGAAACCAAGGAGAAAACGGAATGCAGATTTCCAGTTCAGAGGGTAGTGAACCCATGCTGCCTGAGATGGGGTCTGAGTTTCAGCTCTCTGAAGATGAGTAGTAAGTTTCTGTTTTAAGTTAATAAAATTTAGTCTGGCTTGTTAGGCAATGTCAGATAATTTTAGATACCTTTTGGATGATTAAATATTACTGTATTACTCAAGCCCAAACTGGACCCTTAAGTTTTCCTGGGTTGTTTTCTTTAGAATAGCTAATGCTTAACTGACTTAAAAAAGTATGTATAAAGAATGATATCACCTAATCTGTTTGGCATTCACATCATACAGTGTGGGAAAGACAAACCCATGCAGACCCTTTTATGAGATGCCAACTGTGGTTTTAGGACGGCAAAGGAATACCTTCCCGGAGGACAAAGAAGGAGTTCCTTGAGAAGAGGAAGCTGCTCAGTGTGGCAGAATAGATTTGTGATGCCTACACTTAGATCTTGCATAGCATCATTGAAGAGCAGTTATTCATGTTATTTCTAGGTGAATACAGATGAGAAAAAGGGGAGGGAAGAGGAGGAGAAAAGAATAAGAGGGATAAGTTGAGAATAATAAAAATTTTGTAAGCGCCTTCCTTGAGGAACTTAGATTTTAGAGGAACAGAGAGTAAAGAACATCCAAGAGAGTGCAGGGGAGGTGCTGCTTTAAATAGAAGGATTAGGGAAGCTTTTTTGAATGAACTGATGGAGTAATAGGAAGTGGGAAGTGTCTGAAGAGACTCAGGCAGAAACTGACATGTTTGAATACTTCAGAAATTGCAGATGGTTACCAAGCCTGATTAATAGAGAGTGAGTGATAGAATTTGGAGAGGGTAAAGTTTGTACCTTGAAAAGTCTCTAGGCCTAAGAACATTAATTCTGCTCTATGGTGAAGGGAAGTAGTGAAGGGATTTCAGGATGAAGGGTAACCATCCTTGCTATCTTAAAAGGGAATCCAGGTGCAGGGTGCCCAGAGTGGGCAGGTATTTTGTTTAGTCTGGAGAATGACCTACAATAGTCATGTATTTAGTTTGTTTTTTATTTTATATGTATGAATGCTTTGCCTGCATGTATGTATGTATACTGTGTACATCCTGGTGCCCACACAGGTCAGAAGAGGGAGTCAGGTCTAGTGAAGCTAGTTACTGGATGGTTATGAACCACCATATGGGTGTTGTGAACTGAACCCAGGTCCTTTACAAGAGCAAATGTTCTTAACCACCAATTTATCTCTGCAGCCCCATACTTTTGGTTTTGAATGAGTTTATTAAGTACATAGCAAGCTGCAGTAAGATAGATAATAATAAGTCATAGCTAGCAAAATATCATTAAATAAGGTACAGAAAGCTCCATTGAGCAAGGTAGTTAGAGTGTGTCTTTACAGTGAGTGTCCCATGTCACATCCCCTCTCCCCCCTTTGAGGTTTCCAAGTAAAAGAACAAATAACAGCTAATGTGTAAAGTCATTAAATCTATCAGAAGCCCAATGGGAAAGCCTCATTAGGGCAGCCAGCTGGAGTTAAAGATCAAGACAGTCCCTGACAGAGCAGTCTCCCAGTAAGACTCCCGACAGATAGTGATGACATCCTCAAATCTAGTGCTCACAGTAACCAGCTGAGACCAACTGGGGAAGTTGAGACAGTCAGCTGGAATTCCCTGTTGAGCTTTCTCTCCAGGGATGTGCTTCCAACTTTTCTTCCACTCTTACATCATGGGATAAACAATAGTAATATTTGTTGGAAATAGTTTGCCTTTTTTTAGTTGTATTTAAAAACATGATGTTTTTACCCTTGGGCTTTTTGTTCTCTTCCCTCCCTGTCACAGAGTTGCTTATTTGGGGGTGAGGGGGGGTAGGGGGTGATCACATCTCCAGACAAGGGCCTTAGAGGATCCTATGAGGCAGGATTAGGGTCAGCTCTACCCAGTGCCAGCTTCTCAGTGAACAGAAACAGCTCCTGACAGCTTTCCAGTACAATTAAGGTTGACAGTTCAGTGAGGAGGCTACTTTGGAAGGCGGGTTGGGCAGTGTTTGTGCCCTGGGCAAAGAAAACAAGGCCCCAGGTTTTGTTACTATTACTGCTTCAGGATTTTTGATCATTGTTGTGCACTGTATAGAAAGAACCAGGGTGACTAACTGACACATGGGTGGTGGGACTCACTGAGAAAGTGAGAAAATAGGTAAACTTGAGGAAATGTATTTTCAGACTGTCTCTACAGGGTTTGGTTATAAATGGTGTACATCAAATGTGTAAACTATATTTGAAACACATTTTTGTATATTCGCATACAATTTACCCATTTCAAATGCATAGTATCTCACTAATTTTAGTTAATTTTTATTACTGCAAAAGACAGAACTGTATACAGTAGGAGTCACTTCCATTTCCAGCCTTTGCTAACCATTAATTAATCTAGACCATACATCATGTGGCTTGTATCTAGCTTTTTGGGAGCTTAACATCCTTTTTCCAAGTCTCATATATATTGTAGTCTGTATCAGTACTTTAAAAAACTTATTTATTCATTATATCTGTATTGTTTTGTTTGCATGTATGTATGTGCATCCTTGTATGTCTTGTGCTCTCAGGGGAAGAGGGCATTGAATCCTCAGAACTAGAGTTATGGTTGGTTGTTAGCCATCATGAGGTTGCTGGGAACTAAACCCAGGTTCTCTGCTGAGCCATCTCTCCAGCTCCAACACTTCTTTTCATATGACCAAGAAACATTTCCTGGTATAGTGCTCTAGTCCTGGTATAGTGCTGTGACCACATACTTGAGCAAAAGCAACCGAAGGAAGATTTATTTTTGACTCATGATTTTAACAGTTTTAGTCCATGGTAGAGACAGGGAGAAGGTTAAGCTTATGTCCAAAGATAGTAATAATGTTGTATACATATAGTTATTATCAAGTATGTATGTCATGAAATGGAATGAGCTGTTTGTCCTTTATTAACGAGCTGTTTGTCCTTTATTACTTAACTATTGGCAAACATAAGATAACAGCTATTCTTGTTATCACATGTGTACATTAGAGTGTATAATAAAAGTTGTAATATACTTTATATTATAGATTTTATGCATTTCTTTTATGTGCTTCTTAACATGTGGGAAAATATTCAGAAACATTAACTTGTATTTACTAAATGTACATGTACTTTAATGTATACAATTCTTTGGTTTTTCTTACTACTACAGGAAGCTTATGTGCCTCATTTCTTACCCAGAGTTACCAACTGCCAGTTCTTGATACAATGTTTATAAGAAAGAAATACAGAGGAAAAGATTTGGGGCTTCATATGCTGGAGGATTTCGTTGATTCCTTTACAGAAGAAGCTCTTGGATTGCGGTATCCACTGTCTTCTCTCATGTACACAGGTAAGTGGACTGATCTGAAAAATGATGCTAAACTTGTCACCTAAAATTTGTTTTTCCAGAATATTGTAAAGGTATAGATATCAGTTTTAAATGTGATTAGTTTTTGCTTTCTAGGACTTAACCTTTCAAATGTAATTTTATTTTATGGTATATAGTTGTTACATGGAACATAACCTTTTTAATGTTTGAAGACAGGGGACACACTGTGTAGGGCCAGTTTGGCCTTGAAATAGTGACTTTCCTGCCTTAACGTCTGAGTTGCGGAATTATATGCCAAGGAAGGCATAACATTTTCTGCAAGGCTTTTCCTCCCCACCCCCCAAAAAAACTTGTTTCTTTTCAAGTGAAAAAATGGTGTGCCTTTCTTATTATATTGTTTTTCTGATTCCTCTTCATTTTTTTGTTTTTTAGTTTGTTGGGGTTTTTGTTTTGTTTTTGGAATTTCTGTTTCTTTGGTTTTTTGTTTGTTTGTTTGTTTGTTTGTTTGTTTGTTTTTTGGAGACAAGATTTCTCTGTGTGACAGCCCTGGCTGTCCTGGAACTTAACTTTGTAGAGCAGGCTGTCCTCGAACTCACTGTGATCCACCTGCCTCTGCCTCCTGAGTGCTAGGATTAAAGGTTTGTGCCATCATCATCTGACTTTTTTTCTAAAACCCTCCTGTAGTTTTCATGTCTCTTAGGGTAACTCTGTAGATATGTCTCACTTAGGTAGTCTGCCACCCCCACCCTCACCCCCACCAGTAACTAAAGCTCCTAATGACCTCTCCTTTTCAGAGTTGATTACAAATAAAGTCTGTTGTGGAGGTCTCTGCAAACTCCATGGCCAGTAGAGTAAGGATCCACCTGAGGCAAGAAGGAAATCCAGTTCAGCATGACTCAGTGGCCAGTGTTGGTTCAAAAGTCCGGAGTCTGATATTAGGCAGTTAATTTTAAGCATATTTAAGTACAGGGCAGTTTGGAAAAAAGTTTCCTGGTGTAACACAAGCCTATGTCCACAATGAAGCTTAAGGAATAAGTTACATCAAAATTCTTTTCACTTCTGTCACTTCTTATATGAAGATAGGTCATGTAGGTAGGGTAGGCTACATGTTTTATCTTAGGGGCCTGAGGGGAGGGTCTGGGGTGGCAAGTGCTTTTTAACAGTCATATAGTTAGTGCAGAGGTCACCTGGGCTATTAACCATTTCTGGTCCTGTATGTGGGAGTCAGATATGGCCTGGCCCTGCAGATAGCACAGAGGTCACCTTGCATGTTAACCACCTTAGTTCCCAGCCTTCTGGTCAGGAAACAGGTTATACATCCCTTCATTGGATACACAACTGTGTGTTCAACATTCCTGGTATCCTGGTGCTTATCTGTGAGTGCAAGGACCTCTGTGCCCCTACACCCAGTTATCAGAGACAGGTTATCCACTTGTGCATTTATTTACACTAACTCATATTCTCTTGCTAACGTGAAATTTAACAACTCCTGGGGTTATTTGCACTCTTAAGTCTAAGTAAGCACTATTTAATCATTTGAGTGTAGGATAAATGTTGGAGAGAGGCTTTCATAAGGTTCTGACCTCTCCCACCTCTACTCCTCCTCTTTAATAAACTGTCCTTTAGAATGCTTGTGTGCATGCCTGCATGCTTGAGTGCTTTCATGCATGTATGCCTGCCTGCTTGCCAGCCAGCCACATGTATGCTAGTGCCTATGGATTCCAGAAAGGATATTGGATCTCCTAGACCTGGATTAGAGGCAAGTTGTAAGCCACAGAACATGGCTGCTGGGATCCAAATTCAGGTACACTGGAAGAGTAGCAAGTGCCCTTAACAGCTGTTTCCAGCTCTTATTTTCAAGTTTGTTTTTTTGTTTTTAAATCAGTATTTTATACTGTTTATTATAGGAAGTTTTCATCCTGTTTGTTAAATTTATTTCTAGGTATTATTGTAAGGCTCTTGCAAATGAGGTCATGTTCCTGATTTTATTTCTAGTAATCTGACATTAGTGGGCCTGGGACATGGCTCAGTAAGGACACTTGGTTTGAAGACAAAAGAACATGAATTCAGATTCCCAGTATGAGTGTAAAAGTTGGGCATGGATGTAAGTGCCTGTAACCCCAGCATTTGAGGGTTGGAGATGGGGAGATTATTCCATGCTTGCTAGCCAGCCAGCTTTGCCAAAACTGAGCTTTGAGTTCAGTAAGAAGCCCTCCCCCCACCCCAGATGATAATAAAACAGAGTAATAGAGGACGATGCAAATATCTTCTTGTTTCTGCATGGGTAGGTGCATGTACTCAGACATGCATGTGCTTGTACTTAACACATTCACACACCACACATACTCCATCCAAAAATAAACGGTACGTATAATTAATAAATAAATAGTAGCTGGAGAAGTAGTTGAAAGCATTAGCTGCTCTTCCAGAAGATGTGTGTTTGATTCCCAGCACTACATGGTAGCCCACAGCCATCTGTAACTCCAGTCCTACGGGATCCTATTCTCTCTTCTGGCCTCCATGGACAGCAGATAGGCACGTGGTACACAGACAGACATACAGGCAAATGCCTATACACATAAAACAAATACATTAAAAATAGTTTGCCATTTCTGAATAGCAGCACTAATGGTTTTTTTATGTTGATTTTGTGTTCTGCAAGTTTACTGTGTTTTCTAACATAGAACTGAACAAAACTTGGGTTACTGAGGAATTAGAATTTTCTTTTATAGGTTTTTAGTCCTTGATTTAAAAAAATTAAAAATATTCTTAGAATGAAGCTTAAGAATCAAACTTGAGAATTTGAGAGAAAAACCACAAGATTGCCAGAAGCTGCTAGGAGGAGACAGATGGAGAAAAGGAGACAGGCAAGCCATTGAGTTAGGGTCAGCAATTGAGATGTGCCAGCAGCTGCGGTGGGGGCAGAGGGTGTACAGAGAAAACAGTGAGGATCATTGGGAGAGTGAGAATACTTGGGATTTGTGGTCAGCATCCCAAGAACAGACAAAAAGTGACCGGTCACAAAGCATAGACACACTGAAACTATTGTATATAGTTACCTTCAGGCTGTGTATATACGGTGTGTATTTAAAATGTCTTTGTATTTAAGGTTGACAAATATTCAAAACTACTGAAAAAAAACAAACCCAATAAACTGTCTGAAGCATTTGGAGTAAGAGATACCTACAGTCTTGGTGTATGAGAGTGACCTTGGGTTAGAATTCCTCTTGCTCCAAGAACTACTTTTCCTTATTCCAGCCCAGTAACATAGCCTTATGGTTTGAGAGAAGGACTGAAAAATGCTCAGTTACAAGTCAGTCTATGGATTCACACTAGGTGTTTTATAATTTGTTCACATGATAGAATAGTGTCCTATTGCTAATATTCCAACTAGACAAATTTGACAAAAATTTGTTTTTTTTGTTTTTTTTTTTTTTAATGAGAATTGCATATAGGCTGAGCATGCCTCACCAAAATGCAAAATGCTCCAAGTCTGGACTTATTAAGCATATTAACTTATTAATGAGTTAATATTGACTTATTAACTCAAAAAGTTGCATGTATAATAGCATTTTAAATGTTTATATTAAGTAAGCTCAATAATATAGCCTTCACAAGTATTTGAAATATGAAAAACTCTGGGACATTTAGCATTTCAGATATTGGTGCCCAGGCCATTCAGTGAGGTAGCATAACCACATACCAAAAGCATGACCAAGGGAACTCACCAAGGTCTCAGGTACAAGTAAATTTGATGCTGGAGACACTGGCTTCGTGATTGAGAGCAGCCAAGAGAGTGTGGGGGAAGTGCTGCTTTAAATAGAAGGGTTAGGGAAGCTTTTCAGGGAGTCTTGTACAGGGTATTATATATATACAATACAGTTCATCTTCCCTTTGGAGCTGTTTGTAGCCCCTCCCCCTTTTCCTTTGCTCTTTACATAAATAATTACATTCCTTAGTCAGTGCATGCATCTTTCTCATGGTGTCATATTTGCTTGTCCATAACTTTAAAAAGCATAGTGTGCTTTCTGATTGTTTTTATTTTAACCAGTCTTTACAATAGTGATGATATTTTTCACTTATAAGTACACACTTTGGTGGTATTGTATTCAGTATTGTATTTTCATTGTCCCATATCCAAAACTTTTTCTCATGTTAACATGGATTGCCTTTTGGTAACGTCTTCTGCCTTGTGTTCCTTGTGAAGTACCTATTCTGGCGAGGTCACCTAAGTGGAATCAAGTCGTGCTTGGCCTCTTGTTTGTCTTATTTTGATAAACTACCAAGTGTTTCCTTCTACCATTTTGGGGAGTATGATTTAAACTTCACACAATGATGTCCTTTTATACATTGTACTGACATTCTTTAGATTTATCACTTAAAATTCTTACTTGGAATGTTGTAAGATTTTTTACTTTTTTTTTTTTTTCTTTTCTTTTTGGTTTTTTGAGACAGGGTTTCTCTGTGTAGCTTTGGAGCCTATCCTGGCACTCACTCTGGAGACCAGGCTGGCCTCGAACTCACAGAGATCCACCTCCTCTACCTCCTGAGTGCTGGGATTAAAGACATGCACCACCAATGCCTGGCTAGATTTTTTACTTTTTTAAAGATACATTATTTTATGTGTATGAATATTTGACTGGCATGTGTATCTATGCACCATGTGAGTGCTACTTAGTACCTGTGGAGGCCAGAAGAGGGCACTGGATCTACTGAAATTGGAGTTAAAAATGGTTGTGAGCCATCATATGGGTGCTAAGAACCACGCTCAGGTCCTCTGGAAGAGTAGCTAATGTTCTTAACCATGAAGCCAGTATCTCCAGCATCAAGTTTACTTGTGCCTGAGACCGTTGCACACTCTCGGTGAGTTCTCTTGGTCATGTTTTTGGTGTGTGGTTATGCTACCTCACTGAATGGCCTGAGCACCTTACTTTCCTCTCCTTGATTGCTACTTGAGATTTCTAGGAAATTATTAATTGTATTTTTCAGCTTCCAAGCAATACTTTGAAAAGTATCCGGGAGATCATGAGCTTCTTTGGGAAGTTGAAGGGGTGGGTCATTGGCATCAGCGAATACCAGTCACCAGAGCATTACAGAGAGAGGCAATTAAAGTTACAGGTAAGACTAGTAGACTATGTAAAAGCAACAGCTGATAATGCTAGGACTTTTTGGTTGCAGATCCTCTTTTAAAGTTTTTATTGTGCTGTTTTGAGTCACATAAAACGTAGACGGGGTGGGGGGGCTGGAGAATTAGGAAACACTGTTCTTGTAAAGGACTGGATTCAATTCCCAGCACCCAACTGGTGGCTCACAACCATCTAGATAACTCAAGTTCCATGGCATCTGGCACCCTCTTTTGACATCCTTGGGCACCAGGTACATACATGGTATGTATACATACATACATACATACATACATACATACATACATACATACATACATGGTGGCAAAATATTCCTGCACATTAAATAAGTCTAAAAAGTAAAATTAAAAAACAAAAACAGACCTTGACTACCCCAAATAATGAACTACTTCAGTAGGAATTGGGAGTAGAAAATCAGTGTATTCATGAAGAAGCCTGGACTAGGCTTTGTGAATTAAAAAGATTGGGTATAAGATGGTGTAAAGGAGACATGGCACACTATTGATTCCCATTTGTTTTTGCTGCTCTTGGAAGCTGATGAAAATCATTAGATACTATTAAATTGAAACCCAAATATAATTGATAATTTTAAATCTTTTCTATTTACAGAGATTTCTCAATTTGAAGCTAAAAGACCTGTGTCTGGAGAATATGGTCTTGCTACTGTACCAGAATATGAACCTGGGATGGAAGCCGATCAGTCTAGTGAGATGCAGGTACACTTTTTGACAGTCAATAGGAAATAGTAATGCTTTTATGTTCTATTTTTGTTGTTTGTTTATTGTTTTGGTGATCATGAACATTGAACATGGGCACTTATGTGTGCTAGGCAAATGTTTTACCACCGAGTTAAATCCCCAGCCCAGCTTTCCTTTGATTTTTTATATTGAGGTAGATCTCACCATGTTGCTTAGGCTGGCTTATAGTCTAGTCTGGCCTTGAACTTGAAAATATCCTCAGCCTCAGCCTCAGCACGCCTTTAATCCCCTGTCTCCAAAAACCAAAAAAAAAAAAGAAAGAAAGAAAGAAAGAAAGAAAGAAAGAAAGAAAGAAAGAAAGAAAGAAAGAAAGAAAGAAAATACCCTCAGCCTCATGAATAGCTCAGATTGTAGGTTTGCACTTCAAGGCCCAACTTAAGGTTCAGGTATTACAGTTTATTCAACAAATTTAGGTAATTACAATTGCATTCATATGTATTCTTGGTGACTTCTGCCAACTGATTGTTAAAGATGTAATGCTTTTTGAAAAAATATTACATAGATTATTAGCTACTGTTAATTTTTTGTAGTATAGTTAACACAATTTATGTTTCATGTCTTAATTGACATGAGTTGACTATCTAAGGAGAACATAAGTAATAAAACACTGAAAAGTCAGTTTATGTATGTGTGTGTGTGTGTGTGTGTGTGTGTGTGTGTGTGTGTGTTAAAAAATCACAGTGTCTGTTCTTTTTCTATACTAATCTGTCTTTCTTTTTTTTTTTTTTTTTTTTTTTTTTGGTTTTTCATGACAGGATTTCTCTGTAGCTTTGGAGTCTATTCTGGAATTTGCTCTGTAGGTCAGGCTGGCCTCGAACTCACAGAGATCCACTTGCCTCTGGCACCACAGCCCAGCCCTTCCTTTTCTTTAGTTTGTTTTTAAGATAGAGGGTCATGTTGCCCTGGCTGGCCTGGAACTCATGAAGATTCTCCTGCCTCTTCCTCCTGAGTTCTGGGACTAAAGATGTCTGTCACTATGCCTGGCAACCCTCTGTTCTTTTAATGTTACAGTATACAGTCACACATACTATTCTCAATTATCATAAGATCAAGAAAACCCAAAAAGTTTGCTCTTCCCACAAATGTAGTAAAGGCTATGTTTTAATATAAAGCTTAATAATTTTAAATGTCATTTGAATGAGAATATATTGTAGTGGCAATATATTGTAAGGTTAATAGCATAACTTGTATTTTCTGTCATTTTTGAAGTTCTTATTCCTTATACTGCTTTTTTTTTAAAAAAAAGATTTATTTATTTAATATGAATACAGTGTCCTGCCTGCATGACAGAAGACGGTACACAGATCTCATTACAGATGGTTGTGAGCCAACTTTTAGTTGCTGGGAATTGAACTCAGGACCTCTGGAAGAACAATCAGTGCTCTTAACCACTGAGCCATCTCTCCAGCCCCTCTTCATACTACTTTTAATATTTTAGTTCAAGGAAAAAATATGTAACCACTTGCAGTAATTTTATTTTGAATATATGGTTCATTCTTTGGGTGACGGTGGGTGGTATTTTGGTTGCTTTTACATATTTCTGTACATGAAACATTACATGTGTTTATCTCATATCATTTTTCTTTTCTAGTTGAACTACATGCTTCGTGAGTGCAAGATTTTTATTATTTATTTGCCACAGTTAACTCCTTTATAGTCTATAATTAGACTTTAAAACGTCAATTAACACGTAATATGCTTATACAATACAATGTGACATTTTATTATGTACATTATGTAATGGTTAGATCAGGATCATTTGCATACCCATTACCTCAAAACATTAGTCATTTCTTTTACTGGCAACTTTCAGATTCACATTGCTGTACTAGCTGTTCTGAAATACATGATGAATTTTTTCAACTCTAAATAGATTTTTTGACATGTGTATCTACCATGTCGTAGTTCAGTAATTGTGTAATGGGTGAATGAGTGGGTGATACTGTGTAATGGAGTAGATATCAGAGCAAGAAGTGGATGTCCAAAGGTAACGGTATGGTTTTTGAATACATGAAAGAACTAAATGACCCATTGTTGGAAACATAAATAAATTGCAGGGTAATAATTGCCTTAGTTACTATTGCAAGTGGTTGAAAGTAAATAGCACAGGGTAATCTAAAGGACAGATGGAGTTCTATTAGAAGGGTCGTTAGGATATTGTAGAAAATAGCATGTAAAAGAAACATGAGATAATTAAGAAATGGGATACTCAATGTGGAAGTAATGAATTATCCAAAAGTTTTACTTTGTATTCTATACAGTGGTAAGGTGTTGATTTAAAAGTTTTAAGCAAAGGAATTGCATGGTTTGATTGGGAAACATTATTTATTGGGTGTAAAGTATAGATAGACTGTAGTTAAAGTGTGAGACTTGACTAGGGACAAAGCTATTTGGAATGTTCTGATTTAAGATGATGAAGGTCTGGGAAAAAGTGATGGTGATAGGAAAGGATAGTTCTGAGAGAGCCTTCACTTAAAATCAACAAGCTTTGTGATCGGTTGAGGGATAGGAAGGACTCATTGCTATTTTACTGGTCTTTGCTGGAATGGCTGTTAATTGCTATTGCCATTAATGTAGATAAGGAATAATGTTGGGAATACTTGCTTTGGAAATCAAGGTGGAAGTTGGGGCACTTTATTTGTATGTTTTGATTCATCAGGAATAGTTATCTAAGTGAAGATAATATGCAAGAAATATCAGGAAAGCTGGTAGCTGTGAGCAGAGTGCTAAAACACTCCCAGGTAAACCTGTAACATTTCAGATCCTTGGATGAATTCTTAGGCTTATGATGAACCAAGGGTTATAACAGAACATTTTAATTTTAAAGGTAGATTTCTCAACAAAAAGGACTAGTGGAAGAGTTAAATATTTTTCTTTGAAACTATGAACGAAATAGGTCCATAGTGAGATAGGATATTTAAAACATTACATTTTAATCTTTTCTCTATTTTAGAGTCATTCCATAAAAGATGCCTTTGCTAGCACTTCTGAAGGTAAGAAAATCAGCAGTTCTCTTAGTAAGCCTTGTAGCTATGGACTCTTATGCCACCACTAACCCTGATTTTACTGTGTGTGGACACTGAGGGTGCTATTGAGCTCCTCCTTCCTTTCTTGTAACATAGGGATGGATCATAATGTCTGTATCATTCCCTAAAGTTAGTAAGAGAACATGAATGAAAGAGAAGAAACACAGTAAACCTCAGGATAATGTAGAAATATGAGGAGTGACCCTTGGCAGTTATTTTATAATGAAAACAAATACTGACATTGCTTTCTTAGCCTGTTCTGAAGGAAGGAGTAAAACTGTATGATGGGGCAGTGGGTGGGCTAATCTGGTGTAGTTGTTGCATTTCTGTTTGTTTTAATAGGTAGTTCTTCCCATGCATAGTCAAGTGCAATTTTACTGTTTTCCCTCAGGTCCAGAAAAAACTCCTGTTTCCACTCGAACTCGAAGCAGTCATCTAAAGCGACCAAAGATTGGAAAGCGGTTTCAGGATTCTGAATTTAGTAGTTCTCAGGGTGAAGATGAAAACACTGCTCAGACTTCACCTTTGGCTTCAGTAAACAAGTAAGGAAAGAAGGATTTTTTCACTCACATTTCATGTCTTGTCACTTCCATACTGTTGCTGTCTAGTACTGAAGGTGGAGTTGCTTTATCATGGCACAGCAGGTGTTCTCCTGGAGGGTTTGTATTTAGAGTCTGCTTCCCAGGAGGGTTAGCATCTGAACAGTGTGATGGGAAGCATAGCCAGTAAGAGGCTGGAATAAGCTCACGATGGAACCTTCCTTGTATGCAAATCCAGAATATTCTAGTCAATGTATTATCCTAAAAAACTCATTCATTGTCATCAACTTTGAATTTGATAGGATAGGTTTCAGTAATGCTGACACTATTTAAAAAAACAAAAACAAAAAAACTTTATAATTAATCCACTTTTCCTGGGCTACTAGATATAATTTATAAGTTGTAATAACCTTAGTACAGTCAATTTTTCCAGAGACTTTGCAGTCCCTAGAATCAGCAGAACTCTTGGTAAAAATTTTATCTTCAGATCAGATGTGGTGACTCCTACCTGTAATCCCATTACTTAGGAGGCTGAGATAGGAGGATTACTGAGAGTTTGAGGTGATCTCGTGCTGTATGGCAAGTCCCTTTCTGAGAAAAATGAAAATAGCAAAAAAAGTTTGTGTGAATCTATTTTCCAGCTTTTGGAGGAGAATTTCACATGTTCTGAAACTTGCTATGTGGCTGTTTCTTTCTGTTTCTACCTCCGAGGGCTGGGATTATAGGCATGTACCACAGTATCTTGTTTATGTGCTGCATGGGGATCAAAACCAGTGCTTTGTATGAACTAGGCTATACTGAGCCATCTTTGCAGCCCCTTATTAGTATCTGATACAAATCAAGATTTTATATTTTATAATAAAATTAGACTTTCTTCTGACTTAACCATTCAATTCAGTCATTTAGGTAATTCATAGGTGTTAAATTACTTAAGTTAAAAAAACTGTTAATTTGATTATGTAAATAATTTTAGATTGGATAATTAAGTGGTTGATTTTAATAAAATTCATGCTAAAGATAATATAAGTAAATATTTAAATCTAAAATGTGTGAAATGAGTAATATGTTTAGATAACTATAGTAGTCTCATGGGCAGTTATTTAATGTAATGACTTTATTTGTGAGTTTTTTTTTCCCCTTTGAGACAGGGTTTCTCTGTGTAGCTTTGGAGCCTGTCCTGGCACTCATTCTGTAGACCAGGCTGGCCTCAAAATCACAGAGACCCGCCTGCCTCTGCCTCCTGAGTGCGGGGCTTAAAAGTGGGCACCAGCACTGCCCGGCTTGAATTTATAAGATTTTTATGAGTTTGTGTGATTTTGTGTGTGTATCTGTGAGCACATGTAGAATAAAGAAGAGGGCACTGAGTGTCCTCCGTCACTGTCCACATACTCCTTTGAGGTCAGTAGAACTTTATGAGCAGAATTAGGAGAGAAGACAGTTTCAGGGCCCTACAAGCACAATCTAAACTCAGTCACAGAAATCTGCCTGTCTCTACCTCCCGGGTATTCAGATTAAAGGTGTGCACCACCACTGCCTGGCTCACAGGTGTTATTTCATACGTGAATATTGTATTTACATCATCTATATCTTTCTTCTCCCCTTGCAACTCTCGTGTCCCATCCCCTAACTGTGTCTTTAATTCATGACCTATGGGGATTATTGCCATTCAAACCACCACATTCCACTCCCTGACCACCATAGGCTTATGGTCATATTATAGTACAAAATGTATTTAATCCAACTTCAAAAGTCACCATAATTATTAGTCTCAATACTTTACAAGTCCAAAGTTCAAAGTCTCTTCTCAGACTCAAGGCAGGTGTAACCCCCTGTAAAATCAAAAGCAAAAAAGCAAATTACATACTTCATACTTCAACATACAAGGCACAGAATATACATTAAGGGTTAAAAGGTGGCATAGTGAGGAAATACTGGACCAAAGCAAGACTGAAACCCAGCAGAGAAAACTCTAAATCAATCTCCTCTCTTCCCCTCTCTCCCCCTTTCTCCCCCTCTCTCCCCTTTGGAGCCTTTCCTGGAATTCGCTTTGTAGACTGAGCTGGCCTTGAATTCACAGAGATTCACCTGTCTCTCCTAAGTCCCAAGTGCTGGGACTAAAGGTGTGTGCCATCACCACCTGGCTCCTTTTCTCTTTAAACTATGTGTTTTGTATTTCTTTTTATCCCACTTGCTGTTTTTCATTGTTATTCTGCATAAGAGTGGTTGTGATTGGGCTGGTGAGATGACTCAGCTGTTAATAATAATATGGGGCTAAAGAGGTGGCTCAGAGGTTAAGAACACTGGCTGCTCTTTCTGAGTTCAATTCCCAGCAATCACATGGTGGCTTACAACCATTTGTAATGAGATCTGGTGCCTCTTCTGGCTTGCAGGCATATGTGCAGATAGAATACTGTATACATAATAAGTAAATCTTTTTTAATTTTGATTATTAATAACCACATTGTGAAGTGGTTATTAGTAATTTTAAGACGCCTTAGGTTGTCTTTAAATCTCCTGTGCCACAGAAATTGTCCCATTGCTTTTCATTTTAGTTTCAGGCAAGTTCTGAGGGAACTTGGGACAGGAGGCAGCCACATTCTTTGTCCACATAGCATAAGAATGATATATGGCAGGCTGCTGAAATTCTTCCTCCTGAAACCTCTTCCAAAGTCTTCAGCACTACTGTCTTTCAAGCTCCTGCTAGGATGACCTGTTAACCTCTGCTTACAGCACTCAACCACTTTACTATTCCAAAGTCCCAAAGTCTTCCATATTCCTTAAAAAAAAAGAAGAAATGAGATCTCATGTCTGTCACAGCATGCCCCAAGCCCCCTGTCTTAGTTTCTTTTCTAATGCTGTGATTTTTTTGTTTTCAAAAGACCATGACAAAGTCATCCTAAGGAGGAAGGGTTCATTAAGAGGTTAAAGTTCCAGAGGGTTAGGAGCCTATCATCACCATAGTAGAGAGTATGGCAGGAAGCAGGCAGGCATGGATCTAGAGCAGCAGCCGACATCTCACATCCCATCCACAAACAGGACACTAGAGAACATACTGGAAGTCTTTTAAAACTTTAAGCCCGTCCCTGGTGACACATCTCCAACAAGGCTTGATCTCCTAACCCTTCCCAAGCAGTCCCAGCAGCTAGGCACTAAGAATTTAAACACAGGATCCTGTGGAAGCCATTATCTTTTAAGCTACTACAGTATGTATTTTCTACTTCTATCCATTCACTTGCAAATTTCATGATTTCATTTTTCTTTACAGCTGAATAGAAATCTGTAGTACATAGTTGCCACATTTTCACTATTCATTCATGAGTTAAAGGATATTTAAGTTGTTTCCATTTCCTAGCCATTGTGAATAGTGGCAATGCACATGACTGAGCGAGTGTGTATAGAATATGATGCCAGGTCCTTTGGGTATATGTTAGGTTCAATACCTATGATTATGGACACTAAAATTACTGTGCACTAAAAATATTGGAAGTCAGCTGGGATATGTGTTCATTTTAGTAGAATAGATGAAAAGTCTAGTTTAAATAGAGAATTAGTAATGTTTTTAATTGAATTAAACAACAGGCAAGAACAAAAAAAGGAACAAATTTATCAGGACGAAAAAGATTAATTTTGGACCTAAGGAATCTCAAGCTAATGGAATAACACTTAGTGGTCTAAAATATTTCTTGGGTTAAGAAGGGATTCTAAGATGCTGAGGCAGGAAGCTTGTGGGTGAGCCCCAGGCTGAGCAATTTTAATCAGACCTTTTTCAAAGTAAAGAGGGCCAGGATTGTACAATGCTTTGCTTAACCATACTAGAGGTCCTGATTTCATCACCTATACCGTCTCAAAAATGGGATTCTTAAAATTTATCTGTAATAAAACAAAACAAGAATGGTGTTGATTTGTTTTCTAGACTAGAATATACTGCAAGAACATCAGAGAGCTCAGAAGAATTCTTGGAAGAAGAACCTGAGCAGAGAGTGGTTGAATTTGAAGATGAAAACAGTGAGAAAGATGGGCAGCCTGCACTGGACACTCAGCCATGCCTGGAGAAACAAGATGGTGACAAAGTATGAAGTCACTCACTTGTGAAATAAAACCAATGGAAGTCAACTAGAAGAAAATGTCTTTAACCATATACTGCCAGAGAGCAAAAACCATAGTTTAGAAATAGTGGTTGGTGGTTAAGAAAAAGTACACAATGGCAGGGTGTACTCTCTTTATTTTTTTTTACTTCAGATGATTTTATAAATCCCTGGGAAAAAATAGGTAAAGTAGTTAGAATACAAAACAACACCCAAAAACAAATAGATACATTCTCTGTAGCTAAGGGAACTATTAATATGGCTTGATACTTGAGCTCTTTATTATTCCCATCTTCCTTTCCCCATCTTTACCCATTTGTCCTTCCTTTTTGATACCTTCAGTCCTTTCTACATCACACATTCCTTGTTCAAGGTTTTCTATGCACCTGAGTTTGATGAAAAGTCTTTCACTCAACGGCGTTGGTGGTGCACACCTTTAATCCCAGCACTTGGGAGGCAGAGGCAGGCAGATCTCTGTGAGTTCGAGGCTAGCCTGGTCTCCAGGGCAATAGGCTCCAAAGCTACACAGAGAAACCCTGTCTCAAAAAAACCAAAAAAGAAAAAGAAAAGTCTTTCACTCAATCCCTTAGTGTATACAGTATAAAAATAAAAGTTCTACCAATTTTCTTTATTAGTATTACTTTTTAAATGTTTATGGGTATGTTGCCTCCATGTATGTCTATCTAATGTCTACTGCTTTTGAAGGTCAAAGAGGAGCCAGGCATGGTGGTGCATGCCTTTACTCCCAGCACTGGGGAGGCAGAAACAGGTGGATCTCTGAGTTTGAGTCCAGTCTAATCCACACAGTGAGTTCTAGGACAGCCAGCACTATATAGAAAGACTGTCTCAAAAAATGAAAAACAGGCTGGGTGGTGTCCCAGCAGTCGTGAGGCAGAGACAGGAGGATCTCTGAGTTCAAGGCCAGCCTCGTCTACAGAGCAAGTTCCAGGACAGGCTCTAAAGCTACACAAAGAAACCCTGCCCTGTCTCAAAAACCAAAGCAACAACAATAACAACAAAAACCAAACAAAAAAGAGGTCATGGAGTTACAAACAGTTTAAGTTGCCATGTGGGTGCTGCTGATTGGATCTGGATCTCTGGAAAAGCAGCAAGCACTCTTACCAATCTTACTGAAACTGTAGTATACAGTGTGTATCATGTGACCTGTCTCATCCGGCAAGACATTGAGCATATTATAACACTCAGTGACAGCTCCATTGGAATTCCAATGACTTCCCTTATCTGGGGTGACAAACTACCTTCTTTAAGGTCCTCTCTTTTCCTTGCTTTATAACATTTTAATCTTTGATAGTTTTAATTATTCTTGTGTATGTATATGTGTCCATGTGTCTGCATTTATATTTCAGTCATGCTTTTTTTCTCCTTAATGTGTACATTCTGGGAAACTCAGTCTTTTGTCCTTTGATCTTTGGGTCATTGCCTGTCTTTTGTGGGGTGGGGGTTCACATGCAGAGACCTGAGAAGGATGTTGGGTGTCTTCCTCTATTGCTGTCTGCCTTAGTGTTTTGAGATGGGGTCTCTCACTGAAATGAAGCTTGCCTTTTATCTAGACTGCTGGTTAGGCTGGTGACCAGTGAGCCTAGAATCCATTTGCCTCTGGTTCCTACTGCTGGTAGTCACAGAAACAAGCAGCTGTATATCTACCCTTTTATGTAGTGTGGGATTTGAACTCAGGTCCTCATGCTTTTGCATACCAAATGCTCCTTAATAGCTGAGTCATCTCCCAACCCCAAGTCTTTATGTGTATTTTTAATTATGTGTATGTCGGTATTGCTGTGTATACTCGTCTGCATATGAGTGTCGATGCCCACAGAAGCCACAAAAAGGTGCTGAATGGCTTGTCATGTGGTTGTGAACCTCATGACAGGGGAGCTAGGAACTTAACTTAGAACAGCAGTACTCACTCTTAATCACTCAGTGTTGAGTTTACTTTCCCGTTTTGTTCATTCTGTTCTCAAATCTTAAACTTGAAGGATGTACCTTTTCTTTTTCATTTTTTTCTTACTTTGTGGTCACAGTTATTATATTCTGTTTTTCTCTCCTTTAACGTTTCTCCCACTCTGGTTGGTTCTTTTATAAAGTTTATTGTAATTACCTTCTGTGTGTAACCAACTTTGTATACAACTTAGTATAGAAGTCAAATATATATTAATGATTGAAAATATTTTCTGTGTATGTGTGTGTGTGATAGAATCTCCCTGTATGTAATCCAGTTTATCCTTAGAATTGCCATTATATTTACATAGACTGTCTTCAAATTTGGAATCCTCCTGCCCATAGTCTTTCAAATGCTAGGATTATAGTCATACCACCAGACTCACCTTGAAAAACCTTGATTTTAGAAAAATTTTAAAGTGTAATTTTAACATCTCCTTTAGAAAACTTCCTTTGAGACAGGGTTTCTGTACAGAGTCCTGTGTGTTGTGGAACTCACTATGTAGACCAGTGTGTCCTTGAACTCACAGAGTTCTGCCTGCCTTGAGTGCTGAGATTAAAGGTGTGTGCCACCACACCCACTTGGAAACTTTCTCTTATTTACTTTGAAGAATATGGTATTGTATCTAGTTTGAATAGTCATTAATGTGCATTAATTTTCTGATTTTTAAAATTGTAATAGAATGTCTCCTGGTTATTAGACTATCATTAGTAATTAAATAATCAACATTACTTGGGCGTTGGTGGTGCACACCTTTAAATCTTAGCACTCTGGAGGCAGAGACAGGCAGATCTCTGAGTTCAAGGGCAGTCTGCTTTACAGAGAGTGCCAGGACAGCCAGGGCTACACAGAAAAACCTGCTTCAAAAACTAAACAAGAAAATAAATATTCAGCATTAAACAGATATAAATGGATAAATATTGGAAGAAAATCTCAAAACTTGGAAGATTTGTTCCATCAGATTACTTTTCTGTATTTTAATAATGAAGCAAAGAGCTGATTGTCCAGAAATCACTCTAGGTTGACTGACTCAGCCAACTGAGACTTGGGCCTTTGTTCTCCCAGCGAGCATCAGCTAGACTTAGATTTCCACAGGCCTGAGGGTGCTCACCTCTGGCATGGTGAGCTATCTAAGCATAGCCCCCTACTTCCCAGGTCCTGAGCAGCTGGTAGCAAGTCTCAGCTCGCTCTGTTGCCTCTTCACTGAGAAGTTCATCTTCAAGTTGCCCTTTAAGAAAGAATAGATAGGGCCAGGTGGTGTTGGCATACGCCTTAATCTTGGCACTTGGGCAGTAGAGGCAGGCATATCTCTGAGGTCGAGGCCAGTCTGGTCTACAGAGCAAATTCCAGGACAGCCAAGGCTACACAGAGAAGCCAACCCTGTCTCAAAAAACCAAACCAAACAAACAAACAAAAAATCAGAAAGAAAAGAAAAAGAAGTAATAGACAGGAGCAGGATCTTTTCATTGAATCTCAGACTCACATTGTATAGTCCCATGGGGCCTCCTGGCACTGCCCTATCAGCAGGGAACAGGAAGAGTGTGTGGTTCTTAGAGATTCTTTACTTGACTGACACTGCCTACTAAGTCTCTCTTCCAGTAAATCCATTCTTTACCTCATACTTTATATTATCTTAAATTTATTGTGAGTTCTTATGGATGACATGTAGGGACTGAAAATGGACCTTTCTTGAGTCATTCAGTTTGTAATTAAACCCTGGCTTTCCTTTTGGTATAGGACTCTGTATTAGAGCCTGTGAATGGTGTAGTGGATGATGCCCTGAAGACCTCACTTGTAACTGAAGAGGAGGACTCCACCAGTGAAGGTCTAGAAGAAGAGTTAAAAGTTCCGTCTTTTAATTCTAGTGAAGAGACTGTGAATATTGTTCCACCAGGGGCCGACTCTCCAAAAGCTCCCGAGACTGCTCCAGATAAGGTAAGGCAGAATCACCTCATTTTCTTATAGCTAACGTTTGCCAGTGTTGGTGCCATTAGGAATGGGTAGAGGATTCAGAATCTCCCTTCACCCTAGCATGTAGTCCTTTAGGAAAATTTTTTTTCAGACATAGATTTTTATATTTCTCTTTCAAGGTTCAATTCCACACCCACCCCACATCATATTTGCTTTATGGTGACAAAATGAGCGTTCTTTTACAGACTTAGGGAAATGATTAGAAAAATTACAAAAACAGAAAAACATGGTTTACAAATACTTGAGTACTCATTGTGTGCAGTGGCTATGACCACTACAGTAATTTTGGTTGTTTTAAATTCAATAGACAAGCTAAAGAAAGGCTTGATGGAATATTTAAAAATTAACTTTACTTTGAATATTTCAATTTATGGCTAAAAGACATTTATATTAATGCTTTCTAAGTGTCTTACTGAGGTTGGTGAATAAAACTCCCATCACCTTATTGCTGTTGTCTAATGAAACCAGTTAGAATGAGCAAGGGGTAGGGTAGCACAGTGTTGTCCTAAGAGATTCTTCGTTCTGGCTCCAGTAAATTAAAACTTAGAGGCATTTGATGGTTTGTTAGAATCTTGAAGTTTAAAGTGTCTTGGTTACTCTTTTGAGGCAAATTTTTATTTTTTATTTTTTAGTTCAAATTAGGAACAAGCTTGTTTCACATGTCAATCCCTTCTCCCTCTCCCTCTCCTCCTCCCAACCCTCCATCAGTCCCCTCCCTGAGGAGAGTAGGGCCCTCCATGGGGGCTCCCCAAAGTCCACCACATCATCCTGGGGAGGGTCTAGGATGTGTCCAGGCTGAGAGAGCATCCCTTCATGTGGGATGGGCTCTCAAAGTCCCTTCTTACACCAGGGAAAAATACTGATCCACTACCAGGGACCCCATAGAGTGCCGAGGCCTCCTTATTAACAACCACATTCAGGAGTCTGGATCAGTCCCGTGCTGGCCTCCCAGACAGCAGTCTGGGTCCATGTGCTCCCCCTTGTTCAGGCCAGCTGTTTCTGTGGGTTTCATCAGCCTAGTCTTGACCCCTTTGATCTTCATTCCTCCCTGTCTGCAACTGGGTTCTAGGGTTCAGTTCAGTGTATAGCTGTGGGTGTCTGCCTCTGCTTCCATCAGCCACTGGATGACGGCTCTCAGGAGAGGTTGGGCCGGCGGAGGGGGAAGGGTCGCAAAACGATTTCTTATAAGAATTTATTATATTAAACTTGCCATGAACTGGGCATTGGTGGCACATCTCTTTAATCCCAGCACTCGGGAGGCAGAGGCAGGTGGATCCCTGTGAGTTGGAAGTCAGCCTGGTCTATAGAGCGAGTTCCAGGACAACCTCCAAAGTAATACAAAGAAACCCTGTCTCGAAAAACCAAAATGAAACCAAACCAAACCAAAATAACTTGCCATGAGACAATTTTGAAAAAATTAAGTTTAATTTAGAATATGGACTCATTTGTAAGAAAAATAATCAATCCTGAGTTCTTTTTTTTTTTTTTTTTTTTTTTTTTTTTTTTTTTTTTTTTTTGGTTTTTTTGAGACAGGGTTTCTCTGTGTAGCTTTGGAGCCTATCCTGGCACTCATACTCTGTAGAGCAGGCTGGCCTTGAACTCACAGAGATCTGCCTGCCTCTGCCTCCCAAGTGCTGGGATTAAAGGCGTGCGCCACCAACGCCTGGCTAAATCCTGAGTTCTTTACAGTTTAGTGACATTGTCTGAGAATAATTCATTTTAGAACAGTATTGTAAAACTATTAAACTTTTTTTTTTTTTTCAGACTTCCCCTGTGTCTGACTCAGAAATGTTGACAGATCAAGGCCAATATAATGATAAAGGACATAATGAAGAGAAGCTGTCCCTAGTTTCAAAAAAGAAAACACATCTGGGGAGCTCAGACAGTGCTGCCACTCTGTCAAACGAAGAGAAATCTGACAGTAGTGTTCCACATTCTGCAGTAGCAGACTTTCCTGAAGAGCCAGTCTCTGAGAATTTGTCACCCAACACTACTTCCTCACTGGAGGATCAGGGTGAGGAGGGAATCCCGGAGGCCCAGGAAACAGCTGCTGCTCAGAGTTCTCTGATAGAGGTAGAACTTGAAGATGTGCCATTTCCACAGAATGCAGGACAGAAGAACCAGTCAGAGGAGCAATCTGAAGCATCTTCTGAGCAACTGGACCAGTTTACACAATCAGCCGAGAAAGCTGTGGATAGCAGCTCAGAGGAGATAGAAGTGGAGGTTCCTGTAGTAGACAGGCGGAATTTGAGAAGAAAGGCCAAAGGGCATAAAGGACCTGCCAAGAAGAAAGCCAAACTGTCTTGAATGAAGAAATGCGTATGATAAATCCTCTTCTTTGTAATGTAGTTGTTGTTTTTAAACCATGGTAATTAATAAACAGTGTGAGGCACAGGACAAATTCCAAAATTTCAATTTGAATTTATTTAAATGCAGGCTTTCCTCTTCACTTTAGGAACTAGGATTCACCATTCTTTTTAATTTTTTCAGGCTATTTTCTGTAAGTAACTTTTATTTTTTTATGACCCATGTATCAATTTTGGGAATTCAGGTCATATATTTTTCTTTAGCAGGTGGGTGAAACATCTAACCATAATATTTTAAAAATACAAATTTAAAACTAGTAGATTTTCTAACACAAAGATCACAGACATTTTTTTGTACTAAGGGTTTTAATGGTAAAACTTGGCAAGGGTTCTTGAGTTTAATCTTGGTATCAAGAGCAATCTTCATTTTTATGTGTAGGCATACCTAAACAAAAAAATGTGTCAATAAATTAATCTCAAGTGAGAGGATAAAAATAGAAGTTTATGGTCAGTGAAGATGATTGTTTTGGGTTTTTACTTATTAGTCATAGATGCAATTTCCTTAACAACAGTGCTGAGATTAAAGACATGCTCCACTAACGCCCGGCTCATGGCAAGTTTAATACAATAAATTCTTATAAGAAATCATTTTGCAACTCTTCCTTCCCACTCCTTAACAACTGGTGTTAACAGTACTGTTAGAAATTTAACTGTGGCATGTGGGCAATTTAAAATTCTGCTTAAAGTATTAGTTTGTTGTAATTTTTAAAAATTTTCTGTACATTTGAAGATGGCTTTAGTACACTTTAATCTGGTAAATACCCCGAGTAATTGAATTTAGATTGGACTGTGGTCCTGACCACACATACTTTTTTATTCCTACCTAATTAATGAGAGTACTGCATAAATACAGGTCCTTTTCTAAGCCTGCTTAGTCCCTCTACTACTAAGTCACTGTGATTCTTCTGTTAAAAAGACTTCCATCTAGCTTGTGAGTTACACCCTTGTGTCCATTTTGGGATAGGTTTAGGACCACTGTATTTATTAGACAAACTAACCTATGAGATGAACCGATGTCTAAATTCTATCTTGCTCTGCTGTCCCTTTGGGTTTTGTATACTTTAGGTGGATTCCTAGTACTGGCTACAGGATGTCCTATATGGGTAACTTATTGCCATGGCAAAAGCATTTGATTTTTTAATGGGGGTGGGGGGACCTGTTCATTTCTTTATGGCAGTTGGTTTTTAAATGAAACATAGCAAATCTGTCAATAGTACTTAGGAAGTACCATGTGCTCTGATTTACTCTTAAGTTGGAGACTACTTTGAAACCATTTAGATTTTTTTTTTTTTTTTTTAATGGTTCCAACATTGTGGGAGAAACGTCTGGACTTTATCTGAGGTGCTGTTAAGTTTTTGTTCAGTTCATTCACTCTTAAGTTGGGTGATCTGGTATGTCATGTCTTACATTTTTCTTAGGGATGCTGGTGTTTTAGAAAACTCTAATTAGTTAAAATCTTTAAGCAGTCCAAATAGCAAACTCTTCCATGATGTTAGAACACTTGTATTTATCTCTTGTCTTTATTTTTGGTTGTAAGCTAGATGGTTTCATTCTAAGTGAAAAGTATAGTGTTTTTTTCTCAATAAATGCTAAGTTAAAGAATAATTATGATTAACCCTGGCAAATTTGCCAAATGCTGACACTGCTTCACACATTTAGAGAAGCTTTAGTTAATATCTCAATTAGGGATAGTAACTAAAGAGTCTGTTAGATTCAGAGACTTAAAATGCTGGTTTTCTTTTTTAATGCACACTAAAGAATTCTAGTTATTTTATTTTTGGCTATTTCCTTTACATCACATTCTTTAAAAATGAGTGTTTTTAGGAGATTGTACTCACTGGCAGCTCGATATGTGAATAGTCTGTTGAATTAAAGAAAAATATATCACACTGGGGACTAGCAGTATGAACTTATACTTTTCAAACTTGTTTAATATAATTGGAATTTAAAGCAATTTCAAAACATTTTATTTAGCACACAAGAAAACTTGTTATTGTCTGTGATAGAAGTTAAAGTTTAGAGATCACAGAGGAAAAAGCTGGGTCACACAGGAGAGATCTTTTATATTCAGTAACATACTGATTATATAAAATTTATAACAAAATTATATTCAGTAGGGAACCTAAATAAACATAATTAGATACCTGTAGTTTTTGCAAGGCACCAGGTCTGCTGTGATTTCAAACAGTTTTTGTTGAGTGTTTGGTCACATTCTATCATCTCTTGTGACTGTTACTTTTGTTTAGAGGTCATGTTTGTTAGAAGTTAGAAGTACTGTTGGAGTATGACTTTCCCTTCTAGTGTATATACATATATATTTCCTTATATATAAAGCAGATGAGTATTAGCAAAAATTTAGTTCTACTTTCAAACTTAAACTACTGTTAGACCACATAAAAATTTATTTAAGAATTTTATTGTAAAGCTCCTTTACAACTTTTAAAGATGGAGAGTCTATTATGATTTTTTTAATGAAATCAAATAGCATGACTTAGAATGTCAGTCTTCTACATATGTTCACAAACTTTAATGTGTCTACTTTCATATTTCCATTGGTTTTCAGAGTAAGGAGGACATCTAGTCATTAATGGTTTACTTTTAACAGATGACCACAATGTTACCGAAGATGGTTTGTGACTTTAGAGTAGTATTCCTTTAAGCCCTTTCTACCAACTAAACATCTGCTCTAAGGTTCTTTCCTTGGGGATTACCTTCTAAGGAGTGGTCACACCAGCAACTGAAACAGATTTCAATGTAAATAAAGAATTTATACTAACACTACTCATATATAACCATATTTTAGAAACCAACTTCTGCTTTTTATGTCCACTAGAAATCCGGTGTTTTTGGTGTGGTCTGTTAACATACATCATGCTTGTTTTCATACTTTCTAACATGCTTTTTTGGTCCAAGATATATAAAGCTGTTTGCTGTTTCTAGTTCTAAAAAAAAAAAATAAGCAAACCTTTTTCAACAATACCCACTGATTACCTGAAGTCAAACTTCCTTTCACCATCTGTAACTTAAGTGAATAACTCATATTACCTGTTCTTATTGGTGGGAAATGTTAAAATCTAATTGTAAGAAAGGTCCCAAGGTAATTCTGTCTGTACGGAATGGTCATTTACTAGCCTTCCTTTTCCCTTACCATCTTTGTACGTTCTAAGACTTAGCAGGGGAAATGTATTATTCAGAGTAACAAGTCTTACTGGAGAATTTATGGTTTGTTTCCTTGCTAGTCCCCCCCCCCCCAATGTTTAAAATATTAATTAAACCTATATTTTGTGATTGCTTTCTGGTCTGTGTTTTCAATGTTTTCTTTTTCCCCTGAGTTTCATTCATGAAGATGTTAACAGATATTATATTATACATTAAATGATTCTGCCAAAGGTATAACTAACCACATTGGCTGTATGATGAAGGCAGACTTAAAAAATAAACAATTTAAAACAATATGGTGATATATACCATTTCTGAAACTCAAAGCCATGACCATATATGACTCATATATCACAAAATAGATTAAGTTATAACTCCAAATCATGACTTTTAATCTAATTAAGTGTTGCATCTCAGGACACTGGTACATAATCTAGAATTATCTAAACCAATTTTTAACATCATGGTAGCAGTGTAAATGCCCTACCCTATTTTTAGAATATAGAAAATAGAATAAGTACACTTGAGTTCACTGCAGCACTATATAAAGTACTAATCACAAGTGGAAAAACTACAAGTTGTGGGTTTTTTTCAGTCTAGTTTACCTTCTTACATACTTTTATGTTAATGTAATATTTTATAAACTTTAAATATTTTATATTATAAACTGTGTTTAAAATGCTCCCCCTTTTTTTAAAATCCCCCCCCTTTTTTTTTTTTTTTTTTTTTTTTAAGGCTTAATGTCAATGAGATTGGAAGAATTTGAACAAATTTAGATTTCCTAGCCCATCCATAAATAAGTGGTCATTAACCTGTATGGGTACTTAAAACTATACTGGTGGCTTTTCCAGTAATGATAGGCATGCATGGCTACATACACTTTTTAGTTCACATACATATATTTGTATGTCTGTTACTCAGTCACTAAATTTTATTAATACATGAGCCCTTAGGCCCCAAACTAAAGACTAACTGTAAAACTGAGCAGTTTTTATTTTTATTTTTCTTTACAATTTAATACTCCTCGATGACTTCACATGGGTAAGGCAGCTTGGTAGTATTCAGAAAGATCACAGTGATGGTGTTTTCCTAAGGGCCTGTGGTCTTCAGCAGAAGTCACTATCAAACCAGCAAGACTGCATTTATGCACCCATCATTTTCAGGGTTGTTGGTAACTTGGGCATACTTTCCTAAGGAAAACAAAACCCAAAGAAAAGAATGTTAACAAAACTAATTTTAGAGAATAAAACTTTTGTCTAAAATATTCCTATCAAATTTAGTAAGAAATTAGTGCAAGATAAGCTAATCAAGATCAGGTTATACTCTGTTAAATTTATGTAAACAATGTTCACAAAAAGCAGCCAGCTCCATTTTATTAATACATTAGTGTCTACATTAATTTAACAACCTATTTTAAACAATATTTTCTTTTTCAAACAACACCTCTAAGTTTAAGCATAATCTGGGCAGTAAAAGCAGAAACTAAATCAATGAGGAAAGACCTCATTTCTCCAACCCCCTAACATACTTGGCTCTTCTACACTGGAAAGAAAGTTGTTGTACACTTTAAGACTTAAAAAGTATTTGCAGTAGGACTACAGGAAAGCAACCCCATATTTAAACTTGTACTTACCCCATATAACCTTGCCTCCTTGTGTCACAAGGCCCAACTCACTCACATTGACTTCAATAACCGTGCCTTTGGTGATTACACCCAGAGTTGTATACAATGGGGAGGATGGGTTCTTTTTCACCCCAAGTATTGGCAGGCAAAAGGTAGCTTTCAGCTCAGGATGTGTGACATGGGCTTTTTTGAAGCGTAGGCCCTATTAAGTCAAACATAAGAATGAGTCCAAATGATGAACAGTCTTTAAAATCATCTTTTCTAACCATCTCAACTAAGGGATGAATAATGTCTTAAAACATCAGATAAAATACTAATGTTTCTACAGACTAAAAATTTCACAGTGGATAGATGTGGTAGGAAGAAGTACACCCAATCCAAAAGGTTTTCCCATGTAAAAATACCCTGTCAATACTTGTATTTTTATTTGTTATAAATGTATTTTTCATTACATTTATGGAAGGCTTACTATATGCTAGACACTGCTAGAGTTAACAACTGGCTCATTTATACATGACAACCTTATATGAGCCTTCCATCTTCACAACGAATAAAAAAACAAGGGTCTGCAGGTTTGAGTTTTGTTTCTAGATTAAATCACATGTGGTAAATGGAATCAAACCTACAAGTTCCAAATTCAATTCCAAATACTTCAGCCACCTCTAAAGATGGGGAAGAAAAAGGGATTGGAGGGTGTTAGCTCTCTTTATGTAGATGGAAATATGATTCAAAGACTGGAGAATATTCTGAGAGGTCCTTGTTAGACATCACAAAGTCACCCAAATGAGATCCTATCAGTACAGTACTTTAAATGTCAGAACACTATGGTGTTGCTTTATTTCACCTGTGTGGGGATGGAAGAAAAATGATGTTTAAGTAAGTTCTTAGTACTGGACTAATTGTGAGAACATTCTCTCCCTAGGGGGCAAAAAGCCACCAAAATGCAGTCCAAAGATTATGAATACAAAATCAAAATCAGGAATTGTAACATAGTCCAAGAGTGAACAAATGTTCTGGGCTTTGAAGGCCGGGCAGGTAGCCTCTGGTGTAGTAAGTGAATTTGGCGGGGAGGGGATGCATCCTTGGAGTGAAAGAGCATGGCTGTTACCAGTGACTGAGTGACTGCAGGATTTGTATACATTACAAATTATTCAGATTGAGCATTAGGATCAACACCACCATTCCTGTTTCTAAGCAGCTAGACTTACATTAAATCTCTGGAAGGATTCTCAAAAATATAAAAAAATCAGTTCCATATCTTTCAAAGCAGGAGGGGAAATTCCAGGCATGGGATTATCTATAGAGATATTATACTGTTATCAATAGAAATTAAGCTACTTTTATGTTTCCTTATAAAAACAAAATGGTTACATATAGAACTACTAAAGTAATAAAAGACATTTACCTCATAAAGCTCAGCTAAATCCATTGTTTGTTTTGGTCTTTCAGCTATGAACATATGTAAGGAAACATTCTTACTCAAATTGTCTTAATGGGCTGGTATCAAAGGTCTGTGCTTGAGGCCTAGCACAACAGGCATATAGTATCTTACTTGCTGAATAAGGAAAATATGACTATAAAAAATGAAGAGCCTAATGTATCATGTTTTAAATACAAGAATTCACTGGCAAGGTGTTATAAAAATTCTTTCAATTCAAATCAATCATGAATCTAAAATAAGATTCAATCTAGATTCATGGAAAAATGCTAAGTAATTCCCACTAATGACTTAAAAATAGCACAAGATGCTGTGCTGGCCATACTGTTTTACACACTAATTTTAGCAATTTCAGGAAAGTGTACTAAGCTTTATCCAAGACTATTTAACAAGGGCTCACAATAAGTCATCACACTCTTTTCTTACCATTGGCCTAATGAACCTTTCATATTTAGGGGGTTTTCTTGTAAAACCATCACCAACAAAGCAGACTTTAGTAACCATCCTCTTCCATGCCTTCTTTTTTCTTTTTCCTGTTCGAATAACTTTCAATACTTCTGTTTCTCCTTGGGCACGAACTTTGGGTAGAGGGACTTCCCATTTCCCCTAAAAGTATAGGTTTATATTGTAAGAAAAAGATAGTAAGAATAAGTCAAGTTTTTAGTTAGAGTAGAAGATTCACTCTCCTTAACCACTCAACACACTTCAGTTGTTGTTCAACTGTTTTGGAGAAGTCTGTGCAGTCTCTTCACAAGCCATAATTAAGCAAAACCAGTTAAGTTCATATATCCTAGGTACATTAAATAAACGGTTTTGTTAAGCTAAAATCTCTTCATAACCTTGTCATGGACCCAAAATATATCCTTTAAGGCAATGACTTATACACACTGTATATCCTTGTTACTAGTTACAAGCACAATGTTAGAGAATGGAGTCCACTTACTTTCTTTGTATTTTTCCCTAAAATGGACTTTGAGTCTGCTAGTAAAATCATCAGATGTTTTGTACTGCTCCAGAATACAGACCCACAAAACCTCTAAAGCTATAGCAATGTAAGGCAATGGAAAGAATTTTGAACCAATATTACTAAAATGTGTGGTGATAGTTGTTTACGATCTAACAAATAAAGCTTACCTCAAGATCAGAGTGCAAAGCTAGCCACACTAGTTAGCCACACTAGTGGCCAGGCTGTGGTGGTACACACCATTAATCCCAGAATTTGGGAGACAGAGGCAGAGGACTCTGTTAATTCAAGGCCACTCTGGGCTACACGAGATTGAATCTTGTCTAAAGGAGAAACAGAGCTCACACAAAGGTGATCCCAGCACCTAGGATCCTATGCATTTAATCCCAGCACTAGGGAGGCAGAGACAGAGAGAGGAATACAAGATGGGAGGAGACGAGAGAGATGCAGTCTGAAGAACAGTGTAGTCTAAGCAGTCTGAGGACAAGACTGCCCCTTTGGTCTGAGCATTGGTAGAGGTAAGAACTCTCTAGTGGCCGGCCGCTTTGCTTCTCTGATCTTCAGCATTAACCCCAATATCTGACTCTGAGTTTTTATTAAAAAGAACAGCTAGAATTAGTGCTATAGACATGGGTTCTAGGAGCACCTTTAGCATTTCCCAATGATCTGACAGCCAAGAATGATTTACAGTTCCTTGAACTCTAGTCTTTTATCTGCAGTTAGACTAATTCCATATATTCTTTGAATAGATAACCACTGGTATCATCAGTACTAGTCACACCATAGCAATTTGGGATATTTACAAATTATAAAAAAAGATTTTTAATACTATGTATTTTCCTATTGGATTTCTTAAATCAATCTATCCATAAGTACTTAAAAATAGTAACTGTAAAAGGTATACTAAAAGAATTGTTGAATATTTAAGTTAAATCCACTAGAACCAATTTTGGCACTACAAGGAAGAAAAACAAGAAAGTTGTATTTTTCTCCACAGTAGCACAGCATCAGAGATTTTTAAATGTTAGAAGTCATTACTGAATTTTAAAGGTTCACTGCTTACTCACTTTGTTATTAATTGAATTTTAAATGAAAGATGTATGACATTCTAATGTCCTGCAGGGTCTCATGTAAACGAAATTGGTTTCAAACTTGCTGTTTAGCCAAGGATGACCTTGAACTTCTGAATCTCCTGACTCCCCAGTCCCCTCAGTGCTGGGATTACAGACGTGGTAGGCAAACACTCTATCAACTGAGCTACATCCACAGCTCACTCTGATAAATTTTTGTTAAAACTTAAACTCTAAAATTTTTTCAGCTGGGATATATCAACCTTGGTGACAAGACAGCAAGTTTCTATCAAACTAAATTTGCAAAATGCAGATGCAAAGATGGCTTAGCAGTTAAAAGCCCTTGCTGCTGTTCAGAGAACCTGGGCTGAGTTCCCAGCACCCACACAGCTCCTCATAACAGTCAAGAATTCCAGTTCCAGGGGATCTGACATCCTCTTCTGGCTTTTGTTGGCATCATGTGGTGTCATAAATACACACACACAGGCAAACACACATATAAAATAAAAATAAGCAATATCCAAATAATAGAACTAATGTTCTATTATTGCCTTTAATGTTCCAAATTAAACTGGAGATAAATCTGGAACCTCAAATTTTAATTTAAATATTTCTTTCAAGCAAGAAAAGATTTATTGCTTACCGCCTTCTCTTTTCGTTTCTGCTTAATCATGTTGGAAAGTACTTTTGCTCTAGACTGTCCCTCTCTGTCCAGCAGATAGGCAGGGACTGCTCCTTGTGGGGTCTTGTCATCATTCTTTTGTTTGGTGTTTCTCTTTTCATGCATCTTAATACTATCAGAAAGGAAGGAGAGTCAGAGCATGTTTGCTAATTATTACACAATAGGTGTTACCTGACTATGAGAGTTAGACAGGACCACTTACGTCTTTTTCATTTGTATTTTCTCAGCATGGCGCTGTTTATGGTAGAGCTTAGCCTTCAGGCCAATCATTTTTTTTGCCTTCTTTGAACGTTCATGGGCCTCCCGACTTTCTTTCTTTCTCTTTTTCTCATGATAATCCAAACGATACCCATAGCGTTTACGGTGTAATTCAATATATTCATTTTGTGGCTGTAATAAGTAAAGAAATGTTGCTTTAATTTTTGTAAGTACTGACAGGATTAGTCTAAGATTTTACATAGTACATAAAATAGATAAGACTCCCCTACTATCCAAAGCTTTAATGACTCTAGCACTATTACCCATTCATATGATATAAATTAAATATATTTTAACCTTGGACATCATTCATTCCCAGGAAAAGCTACTGTTCAATGAAAGTATTTATCCAAAATCTACTAAAAAGATGAGATAACTACAGGATTTCATTCTTTTTTCACTGGTAAATTTTCAGGTTTTTTTTAATTAGGAAATTTGTCAGTTTTATCAAAACAATTTACATAAAACAAAATTTGCTTTAATTCCAGCACTCGGGAGGCCTGGTTCACAAAGCTCCAGGACAGGCCTCAAAGCTACACAGAGAAACCCTGTCTTGAAAAACCAACAACAACCAAAAAAACTTGCCATTTTTTGTTGTAGGTGTGTAGTTGTAATTTCTGACCTATCATACATTTCTGTAACCATTATAATCAAGATGGCATATATATTTTCCATCACCCCAAAATGCTCTTTTGTGCTACTATAATGTCAGTTTTTCCCCATCTTCATCCTTACATATTTTTTCTTTTCTTTTTGGTTTTTGTTGACGGTTTCTCCATGTAGCTCTGGGTGTCCTAGAACTCTCAGAGATCCATCTGCCTCTGCCTCCCGATTGCTGGTATTCTAGCCCTGTGCCATGACCATCTCACACAACTTTATATTTCCCAGTGAATGGAGTCTACAGAACATACAGCTTTTTGCATTTGACTTCTTTCAAATAGAACATATCCTTCTTGTGTGTATATTTTATAATGATGCGTAGTGTTCCAGTGTATAGACATAAACTAATCTGTTTGTTCACTGACCAAATGATGGCTATTTGGACTCCCCTCCCCTTTGGTGATTAAGAATAAAGTTGCAATAAATATAGTTGAATTCAGATCTCTGTATGGAAATTGTCTACTGTCATACTGTCTCCCGAAGTGGGTGTATTATTTTGGACGTTGTCAGTAATGTATGGGATCCCTTTTCATCTTAAAGAGTTTCAACTTTATTAATTTAACGATGAAACTGTGGCCAGTTTTATTTTGAACACACACACACATATAACAATAATGGAAGGCCAAGTCCAAATCCAGCTCAGAGAATAATGTTAAGTAACAGAACCATTAAAGGTGGTGTTTTCAACTGCTATCACATAAACTTTGCAGCATCTACAAGAAAGGTATAAGGCATTCCATTTTTGTTGAGAAACATCTAGTAAAAAGGTAGTCTCGGTGGGCAGGTTTGGTAACGCATTTTATTCGCTGTTTGGCTTTTTGCAAAGACTATAGGCTTATTGAGCAGTAAAATGCTGTGATGCCATTAATACTTATTATAGAGGATTGTTATCACAAGCCTCAACTCTATTCCGTTAGGCTGGCACTGCCGACACAAGATTAGTAGTAGTAAACTCTGTCTCACGTGTGTTCCCTGTCCCGAAGCTATGCATTCTTGCTAAGCATTAAACATTCGTTCCCAGAGTCTACATCAAGCTCCACAGCGTCTGAGTTCCGCCCACCACCGTCCGCCCGCCCGACAGTCCAACCACGCTAAACCCCATGCCCCCAGTCGCCAACGCCCGACGCGGCCTCCTTACCATGATGACAGCCGCGGAGCAGCCTTCCGCGACCTCCCGGGTGCTAAAACCCTCTTCTGGGTCTCACTGGTCCACGAGCCCACTTCGCGGAAGGCGGAACAGGAATAGGCAACCCTTTAAGTAGGCCGAGTGAAGTGCAAGCACCACACAACCGTTCCGCATCGGCTCTACGCTCCTAGGCAGGAGAGCGGAAGTTGCTGGCAGGCGAGATTTAGCTGAAGGACCACCGGAAATGGGAAAGTGGGGCTGCCTATGGCACCTCCAGCCGCGAATTTTGTAGGTTCCTTCTGCAGGTAGGAGGGTGATTTAGGCGGTGGGGCGCTGTAACGTGAGATCCTTTCCAGTTTTGGAGTGGCGGGCACCCCTTGGGGCCCGCAGCCTGGCGGAGAGAAGCTAGTCGTTGGTGCACACCCAAGTGCCCTGTGGGTGCCACGCTGTGTAGCGGCGACCGGGTCTTGTGCTGTGCAATGCTGACCTTTTGACTGCAACTGACAGCTACAGAAACCCCAGTCCTTGACACCTGCTGAATTAGAGACTTTTTTTTCATCCTTTATCAAGGACAACTGATTCTTTTGTTTCTCCCCTGTCACTAGTGTGTACACATTTAATTGAAATTTATTATGTAGAAAGTAAAACTGCTGGGCCAACTGCCAGGAAGGCAATAGATAATTTTGTTTGTATGGCGGCTCAGGACTTACTTAATTCCCTAAGTTCTTGAGACCTCTTTTTAAAATCTGGGAACTAGATTGAACGGACTTGGGTGAACTGGCTCTCTAGTGCGGGGAAGGAATTTCCAAGAAAGCACATATAATTAGGCTCAGTTTTGCCTGTAAAAATTTTTCGTCACTTTATTAGTGTGTATGGGTGTCTTGCCTACATGTGTATCTGTGCACCACATGCGTGCCTGGTGCCCTCAGAGGCCAGAAGAAAATGTTGGATCCTAAAAAATAGTTTGGAGGGCTAGTGGGAGCTGGGAATTGAACCTGGGCCCTCTGAAAGGACAGCTTAACTGCTGAGCTATGTCTCCAGCCCCTATTTTTACCTTTTACTGTAGTCACAGAAACTTCCTAATTAATGCATAAGTTTGGAACTACCAATATTAGAAAGTGTTCATCTCAAAAAGTCTTAGTGCTTGGATTCAGGTTTTTCTCTCCATAGTATTTGTTTTGTTTGTTTGATTTTTCAAGACAGGGTTTCTCTGTGTAGCTCTGGCTGTTCTTGGAACTCGTTTTGTAGACCAGGCTGATCTGGAACATACAGAGATAGGCCTGCCTCTGCTTCCTGAGTGCTGGGGTCAAAGGCATGTGCCATCAGGCCAGGCTCAAGTCTCCATAGTATAATGTGATTTTTTGAAATCTAGAACTAATACTAATTAGCATTCATGTGATTTCAGGTGCAGTAAATTATGTATCTTATCACACTAAAGTATGGCCCTCCTTCCCGATTGCCTCCCTTGCCTACTTTAGGTGTTTGCTTTAATTTCATAGTTTTAGCAAAGCCTCCCTTGACCTTGACTCCCCCATTTCCCTTTGTTGCTTATTTCCTTTCTACAGCATCTATGACAATAGGATGCTGTATATTTTCTTTACTTCTTTGTTTGTAGCCCTTGAGTTGGCTAGAGTCAGTGTGGGTGCAAAAATAGTCTTTGTCCACTGCATTAACTCCAATACCTAGAAAGCAGTGTTAAATGCAATTCTTACTGAATGTGCGGATTTAATTCTCATGCCATTTCTGTGGTGTCATAGGTGAAAGACTGAAGTTCAGAGACTTCTAGTGATTTGGCTAAAATTTCAGAAGACCTAGGACTCCAGTCTTCTAGTACTAAAACATAGGTTTTTGTTGTTGTTTTTAAAGAATTTGTTGAAGTGGAACATGGCTATATAGAAAATGGATATATTATAGAAGTATGTCTCATTGGGTTTTCAGATGCTGTTTAACCAACTGCCAGATGAAGAAATGACTTTAATTTGAATCTAGGAATTGCCGTTCTTCTTTCCAGCTGTCATTGCAGGCCACTTCACACGTGACATATATTCACAGGGACACACATAAATAAAAGTAAGTTTTAAGTCTTTTAAAGTTACTTGTGCCTGAAATAAGTTTTGTAGTGAAAATAAAAAGCCCTGGCTTTCCTGGAACTCCCAGATGTCCATCTGCTTCTGCTGGAACTAAAGGTGTGCCCCACCATAGCTGTGTGGTGGTGGTGCATGCCTTTAATCCCAGCACTCGGGAGGCAGAGGCAGGTGGATCTCTGAGTTCGAGACCAGCCTGGTCTACAAGAGCTAGTTCCAGGCCAGTCTCCAAAGCCACAGAGAAACCCTGTCTCGAAAAAAAAAAAAAAAAAAAAAAAAAAAAAAAAAATTGTTGTGCACCACCACTTCTGGCCAACTGATAATAAATTTTGCTGCCAGTGCCTGGATACATTCCTGCCAAGGTGATCCACCCCTGCTTTGCCTACCATACAACCAGTACAAATGTGAATACTGAAAAGGATGGTTAATGCCTTAGTATTATTATGAAACTAATTTTGACCTTGAAGAGAACTTAACAATCCTAAAGATCTATAGATCACCATTTGAGAATCAATGAGTTGCAAGGTGTTTCTCAACCTACTGACATTTTGTTCTTTGTCAGAGGTGGATGCTCTGTGATTTTTAGAATATGAAGCAGTATTGATCTACTGGATGCCAATTATTGCTTTTGTCTCTTGAGCAAGGATAGTATATAAACCTTTTTCTGGTGACAGCACTGGGTTAGAGTGACTAAAGATAGTGTCTTACATTAGAAAGTAGAGAAGATGAGGCCTGAACTCTAACATTTGGAATAGATTCAAGATATACTTAGGAAATAAAGTAGAAAGACTTGGTGACTTCTGAGATTACATGTGGGTTTAGGAGGAAGACAGTTTCAGCATGACTTCCTTCCTGCATAACTGATTTCTCATTGTCTCCCCATGTCCTAGGGTGTTAGGTACTTCTGTCTTCTCCTCATACCTTTGATACTGTACTTTAAGCCCAGTGGAGACTTGATAAATGTGGATTTAGGGACTTATTGCAGTGCTGAAGTCAAAGCCAGGACCTTGGGCATACTAAGCAAATGCTCTACATAAGGGGGACACTTCAGGGTTAGAGAATATAAAACAAAGGTGCTCTTTTTCTGTAACCACTTTGGTATATCTTCATGGGTTTTATTTTCACATATTTACAGCTAAAAACATCAGAATATTTAGATAGATTTTTGTTGTCAATGAGAAACTACCAAGTTTACATGAGAATATTTATCATACTTAATTTTATGTTTAAAATATACTTTTATGAGCCAGGCAGTGGTGGCGCATACTTTTAATCACAGCACTTGGGATACAGAGACAGGTGGATCTCTGTGAGTTCAAGGCCAGCCTGGTCTACAGAGCAAGTTCCAGGATAGCTGGGGCTGTTACACAGAGAAACCTTGTTCGAAAAACCAAGTGTGTGTGTGTGTGTGTGTGTGTGTGTGTGTATGTGTGTGTGTAAGTTATTTTTTATTTTTAAAAATTTAATAGTTGTACTTCAATTATATCTTGAAGTTTTGTTTGTCTTTTATGGTTTTGTTTTTTCTTTGAGGTATGGTCTTACTATGTAGCCCAGGCAGTCTCAAATTTGGCAACTCTCCTCCCTCTGCTTCCAAGTGCTGGGATTACAGGTATCTACCAAAGTCTCAGCCTTCCATATCTTTGTTTAAGAATTAAGGTGTCTTTTTTTTTTAAAGATGTCTTTTTAAATTTAAATTTAAAGTTTTACTTTTTGAATGATTCACTGAATTTTTGTAGCTAAAATGATTCCTATTTTCTAAAACCTACTGTCCTATTTCTTATATGTCTTACTGACTTGTAATGCATATGTTTAGTTTTATAATTTTTTTTTCAGGGATAACTTTTAGAGGGCCACAATGTTTATCAGCTGGAGGATTTTTGCAATGAATCATCAGAGAATATTCAGTGTGCATTTTAAAGTAAGTGTTTCTTACAAAAATGACTGTACTTTATTAGCCTATTTTTTGGTTTGGTCAGACTACCTTAATTTAATTGGAAATACAATATAAAAATTTGCTCATCGATAAAAAGAGAAGCAGATAAAATGAAATCCTGTTCTCATGAGGTAATAAAATGTCAGTTGTTTTGGAGGCAGCTGGTGTTTTCTGCCTCTTCTAAGAACAGTAGAACTTACTGCTCACTCTTAGTAAGGGTGTGTTGTATTACCTATTTTTAATGTCAGTAATTTGAAACATCTGTGAAGTATGTTTCTGTGACCTTATGTCAGGATACAGCGTTATTGTTAAATAGTCACAGAGCCGTTGCCAGCCGGTTTCTGAAGCAGTTTGACATGTGCCTCACGTTTCATGACAGCCTCTTCCCTGTAAGCTTGGTTCTAACACCAGCGCTCTATATACTATTTTGTAAACTCACATTTTCACCACGTATTGAAAATGTGAATCCTCAAGCAGAACTGTGCCCTCTGTCTGGGCTGTTTCTTGAGCAGGGACCCAGCAGCGAGCTTCGGAGAACCTGTAACCCAAATGACGCATTGCCTTGTCATCGGGCTGTCAGCTCATTTTGCTAGCTTAAAATTCCTTCAGTGATGTTCTGAGCAATATATATTTCTCTTGAGAGAGGATACAGAGAGATTGTTGTTATATAGTGCATGCTGTCCTCAAGCTCAAGATCTGCCTGCCTCAGCCTCCTGATTTCTGGGATTACAGGCATATGTTATTGCACCCAGCAACAATATTTTTATATTCCACTTTTGACGTATAATGCTAAAATAAAATTAATGTCAGTTTCTTTTTCTCTCTGCTAGACTATGTGTTACTGTAAAATAAAAGCCATTTTAAAAAGATCGAAGACTCCGGTGCCTCTTAGAAGAAACTACAGCTCCCCACCAGGTACAGATGTTAAGATTCCTCTGTTTTACCTGACATGATTGCTTTCTCCTCTCTCATGTTTCTCACTTCCTTTTTCTTAAAGAGCCTTGCTTGTTCGGGTTTTCCAACCTATTTTAACTTCTTGGCTAATTCCTTGAGATTATTAGGGGAGAGTATTTTGGTAGATGTGAGGGGGACTGGTCCTAGTGGAGTTGTGCTCCTCCTCTGCTGGACCTGTGATGAGCTGAGCCAACAGAGAGTGGTGAGCTTAGTAGTGGGCTCCTCATTTTTGTCAATAGATATTTCACTAGGATAATTTATTTTGAAGGGTTTTATACAAGCTTGGTTACATATTTATCTGGAGTAGTTTAAATTAGATGCATGAGTTCTAGATTTGGAATATCCAGTAACTGAATGCTTCATTCCTCTTTGCCTTCCTGTGTTTGAAGTGAGCAGACATACAGTACTGGATGAAAATGGCTTAATTTTTTTTTCTGTTCTTATTAACATATTTATCATGTGCAAATAATGAAGTGAAATAATACTGATTGGCTGTTGATTTACATGGATATGTGAATTTCATGGGCTGCTTTGTTAGTCTGTATGCAGGCTTTTGTATTCTGCCCCTGCTAATTTAACTGTGGCATGTACTTTGTCTTTTGGTCTTTAGATGCCCCAATGAGGTTTTAAAAATCTAAAACTGAGCTAGGTGGTGTGGCACATGCCTTAATCCCAGCACTTGGGAGGCGGAGGCAGGCAGATCTCTGTGAGTTTGAGAGCAGCCTGGTCTACAAGAGCTAGTTCCAGGACAGCCTCCAAAGCCACAGAGAAACTCTGCCTCGAGAAACCCCTAAATAAATAAATAAATAAATAAATAAATAAAATTTAAAAAAAATCTAAAACTTTTTATTTTTAGAAATTTAGAAGACTTGGTTTAAATAGCATGAAAGCAGAAATTAAGTTCACAAGTAAAACTATTGTTTCAAAATAATTACTGAAACTTAGGCTAGCATGGAGTGATCATTGTGGACATATTTCATGTAAAAAATACCATATGAATGTGTGGTGGCTCACATTAAAATTCTAGTACTAACAAGGCTGAGACAGAGGCTTGAGAGTCTAACTCTAGGCAAGACTACATACCAGACTCTGCCTCAAAACCTTAAATAAAAGCTGGATGTAGTAGTGCACATCTTTAACCCAGAATTCAGAGGGAGGAGGATCTCTGTGAGCTCGAGGCCAGCCTGGTCTACATATCAAGTCCCAGGCCAACCAAGGCTTCATACTGAGACACTGCCTCAACAAACCAACCAAAGAAAACTTTAAAGAAATAAAATAAAAAAGAAACACTACTTAGCTATTTGAAGCCTTAGGGTTTTTCAGCTTCTGCTGACTGATCTCACTAAGGCGTCTGTCTCTAAAGGTGCTGGGCTTGGCATAGTCGAGGGAAGGGAGGTTCTAACCTGTGTGGCAGCTCACACTCAGTTGATCACTCTGAATGTTCTAAGACTTGAAAATGCAGATTTACATGACTGCACATTTAGATTTTCCCTTTTATTTAGGACCTACTGCTACCTTCTATCATATTGTTACAAACACTAATTCTACAGTTCTGTGAATAGAGGTGTAATAAATAACTGATTGAAATAAATCTGTGTCGTTTAAGGGTTTCATTTGTAAATTGGTATTCATGGGTGTGGCCTAAAAAAAGAAATTGGTATCCAGAACTTCTGCTATCAATCATAACTTTCTTATGTATTAATAGAAAACAAATCTTAAATAATTATATTTTATTTAGCTTGATTTGGAATGTTGTATTTGTTTTAAATTGTTTTGTATGTTTTCATTTATAAATTAAAGAAAATGTTTCATTAATTTGACAGTTTAATTTCAATTCTCTTCCTATAGGTGTAGTAGGAAATGATGTGAAATCCCTTTATTCCATCATTAGCCCTCCTGTGGCTAAGTAAGTACTGTCATTATACTGGTTTCCATAGGCTGTTGAGGAAGTTTACAAGTCTTCCTTGTCAGGCTTTACTAGTGACTTATTTAATTTCAATATAAACGTTAGTATGTATCTCAAAAGGTATTTTTCCTCAGTTAAATTTTTTATAGTAACAAATGAATAGAAGATATTTTTAAGATTGTAGTTAGCCTTTTTGTTACTTAGCTATTTTGTCTGATAATGTGGTAGGATGTATTAATGGGAGTGGGTAGGGAACAAGAGAGATATGGGGTGAATATGACCTAAGTATGTATGTATGTATGTATGTATGTATGTATGTATGTATGTATATAAAAACACCATAGTACAGTGCATTACTGTGTATACTTAATATATGCTAATATTAAAACCAAAGTGTTTGCTTTTGTCTTTGTACATAATTACATATATTATAGGAGTACTAATCACCTTTAAAACTTTCACAGCTTAGATATTTTGGTAATAATATGCACTTCATAATGCATCCTTTTCCCCCCTTTAAACAGAATTCGTAATATTGGAATTATGGCTCATATTGATGCAGGGAAAACTACTACCACAGAACGAATTTTGTACTATTCCGGATACACAAGATCATTGGGAGGTTAGAATGGATTCCTCCTCTCCCCACCCCCACTAGCAAAAGAAGTCACCTAGAGTATGGCATGGAGTCTGATGTCTAAACAACAACATTAAGATAAGGTAGCTGGCAATACCACCAGAGGGTCTTCTGAGTTTTAAGTGAGAATTGAGTCCCCCAAGGCCATCATGGGCTTCATATGACACTGGTCTACTAGAAGGTTGTAGGTCAGAACCACACTTAACATTAGATGTTTCTTTCTACAAGAGCACCCTAGTGAGAAGACTCAGTTACAGTTTCCAGGGTTCACATAAGGGACATTCCATACCCAACTCAGGGAGGCCCAAGGCAAGTAACTCCAAACTGTAATTCTCAAGTTAATAGAGTTTGCCAGTAAGAATGTAGGTTTTATTTTGGGTTCTCTCTCTCTCTCTCTCTCTCTCTCTCTCTCTCTCTCTCTCTCTCTTTCTCTCTCTGTGTGTGTGTGTGTCCCAGCCATATAGTTGACATACTTCTATCGTCTGATTGTTTTGTTTTATTTTTAGAAGAAAAGGAGCTGGAACGTTAAGATCAAAATCTCTACAGAAAAGGAGACGATTTTGTTAATCCTTAGCTTAGTGTTGTGTATTCTGAGGTCTGCAGTTTACTGCTCAATTGTAGCTTTTGTAAATTGTAGTTAAATCTTAGTAGGTTTGCACTTATGGTTCCCAGAGCAGCTTTCTAGTTTTATTTGCATCATTTTTTCTATGCATTCCTTGTTTATTTTTTTAACAATTTTATATGGGCATATAATGTATTTCATCCATCATTACCTTCTTTTGTCCTCCACACCCTCCTCCTGACCCCCTTCTCAACTGGTTTATACTGAAGACTTTACCTCAGGCCTTATTTGCTGGCAAATCCTTGCTCTGGAAAACTTAATTGTGAGAGTCCTTGTAAAGGGTAACTTAACTTGGGAAGAATGTTTTCTGTTCCTCATGTAGTGTGGCCTCTACTTGGCATTATTGAACTGGGCTAGATCTTATATCCTGCCTTATTTTGTCCTTGTGATGGCTTGGTAAGGGCAATTCTGTTATGTAAGCTTTACCATGTAGGCCAGATAATCAAGATGGTAGGAATAGGAATAAAGTTAGGAGGGTAGTTTAATCAGTGGACTTCATTGAGCTGTTCTACCCCATAGCAAGGGATTTGTGGCACAGAGGGAATAAGAAACATCAAGCTAAAACTAAAGTCAAAGTGTGTGGTTTAGTAGAATTTTTTAAGAAAGAAACTTTCATGACAGAATTACTAATCCTGCTGAAAAAGCTTTGTCTCTTGAGTTTATAGAGAGAAAATAAAGGGCTCTAGTATTAAACTGAGTATTTTGGGGAGCTTTTTTCTCAGAGCAGACTAAACTATCCTGGGGAGGTAAGGCACTGAGAACCACTAAGATGCACTTGTTTTGAATTAATCTGTGACCTGTTTTTCCTGATTAGATGTTGATGATGGTGACACAGTGACAGATTTCATGGCTCAAGAGCGAGAAAGGGGCATTACCATCCAGTCAGCAGCTGTGACATTTGACTGGAAAGGGTATAGAGTCAATTTGATTGACACACCAGGTATGATGTAGCTTCACTCTGTCACTGAGGCTGTTCCTGTGGGAGTTTTTTGGTTTTTTGTTTTTTGGTTTTTAGTCATGGTCAAAAACATTGAATTTCCTCTCTTAGCCATTTTTTTTTTCTTGGTTGATAGTTTTATTGAGACTTACAGGACAGAAAAGAGTGAAGAAAAATGTATAGTGACCAGTTAGGTGGGGGAATCTAAATGCAAGCCCAGATTGAGGAGGGCATATACATGAAACAGATGATGCTTTTATGGTACCCACAGCAGAGAACAAGGCACAGCTGGGATAGGGAAGCCATCCCCATCTGTCTGTCCAGGAATTCTGCCTGTGTGTGCAGAGTTCTCTGTCTCCACTCATTACAGACTTACTTCCCTTTCTGAGGCTGCTAATGTATGTTAGGGACTTCCACAGTCATCCTCCTGGCCACCCAGTACCATGGTGTTGGACTGAAGTCCCAGGCAGAAGTCTGCATATTGGTCTTATGTATTTCTCACCTTGCAGGACTGGGCACCTGGCCCTATAGCTCTAGGGGTACTAGGAATGGGTTCACTGGGCAGATCCCAACTGCTTGCCAAGCCGGCCTGTGTTCTACAGGCTCAGAGGCTTGAGGACTGGCTTGGGCAGGCTCCTCTGGTCCCTTGCAGTCAGTCCCTCGATCTTCACTCCCAGGCTTGCGGCTCTTCTAGCAAGGAAGAGAAGTCTAGGGAGCCATCAGCTGAGCATGTTTTTGTCATATGTTCCACCTGGGCTGTGCAAGGCAGGTGGGACAGCTCCTCTGGAAGTGGTATGAGCAGATCAAGGACCACAGCTGACTCTGATAGAAGGAAAGGGAAAGAATGAGGGGACAAGGTTTGACCCTGCACCCCAACCTTCCCCCACTAGAGCCCCTCTCTTCCCCAACTCCTCTTACCAGCTGCTGAGAGCTCAGGGCCATGGCTGTTTCTGGAGGAGAAGGACAGATATTTGTAGATCTTCTCAAAATCCACAGTGGTCTCTCTCTGTGGAGGGGCCAGCCAGGGACTTGTTTGGGGCATCAGAGACAGTGACCTCAGAGGCGAGGCCAGAGGTGTCAGGGTTGGGGTCCGAGGCCTTAGGGACAGGAACAGAGGCCTCGGAGTAGACTCAGCAGTCATAGGGGCAGGCCCAGCCTCAAGGCCAGGATTCCTCTGCCCTCCTTGGGTACTCAAAATCAGCAGTGGCTTCCATAGGCCTTTGTGGTATTGTCCGGCATGGAGTGCAGGATGCTGACAGGTTCTGCAGCAGCAATGGTGGGCACCTGGGAGAAAGCTGTGGTCAGGGCTCCCTCCAGTGGGCCTGTTAGTCTCAACAAGATCCATCCATACTTCCCTGGGGGCTGGGGGTTGGGGCTGTGCTTCTTGACGCCTTAGACCTTCTGTGCCACCTGGATGCACCTTCCAAATGACTTCACGAACCACTCAACCTTTGAGTTGCTGCACAAATCAGCAGATCTTGGCCCCACTGAGGCCGCGCAGCTCCTTGGCCAGTTCTATGGCTGAGCCTGGAGTGGTCTCAGTAGATGCCACGTCTCACAGGGGCTTCTAGCTGCGGGGCCGATGGCCTCACCTACATAGTGGGCAGGTCCTTCCGCCTTTGCTGTGGTGGCTTCATGCTGGAACTCTACAGGTCTCTTTCCTGGTGGGCCCTCTTAGCCATTTTTAAGTGTGCACCGAGAAACATATGTTTAGAGCATTTCTTTTCTTTTTTTTTTTTTAAGATTTTCTTTATTTCTTATGTATACAACATTCTGCTTCCATGTATATCTGCACATCAGAAGAGGGAACCAGATGTCATTATAGATGGTTGTGAGCCACCATGTGGTTGCTGGGAATTGAACTCAGGACCTCTGGAAGAGCAATCAGTGCTCTTAACCTCTGAGCCATCTCTCCAGCCCCTGTTTAGAGCATTTCATCTTATAGAACTGAAACTTTGTACTCTGTAGACAAGTGCTTTCCTTGCGCCTCTCCCCACCATTCTGCTTTCTACATCTGGTCACATGACTGCTCTCCACACCTGTTAGTGGAATCACTCTATTTGATTGCTGCGTAAATAGTTGTTATTTTATATTGCTTAGAGAGTAATGGCATGAAAAAAGTCTGTCCCTGTTTAGAACAGACACCGTTATTCTTGAATCTTCTCAGCCCATAACTGCATCTCCAGATTCAGAGCCTGTGGGAGTGGGAGACGACTGTTGCATGGATTTTGTTCAGTGTGAATGTGGGTGGACAAATCACTGCTTGAAGCACTTCTTTCAGGCGTTCACCTTCTTTTGTGTGGGCACTCACGAGGGACATTGCTGACCCATGTAATTGTTTTTGAAGATTTTCAGTGCTTATTTTTTCTTAGGTCACGTGGACTTTACCCTGGAGGTTGAGCGCTGCTTGAGAGTGTTGGACGGTGCAGTGGCTGTGTTTGATGCCTCCGCTGGTGTCGAGGTAAGGTACTGCCAAAGCAAAGACAGAACAACAGTGTGTGTTTTTTAAAAAATATAGAATGTATCTGAATTAGTTAATTATATCCCTTTATTTGGTAAATCCATATATAAATCAGGTTGTGGTAACAGGCAGTTGTTTACAATGGCAAGAAAGTTTGTTATTTCTAGAAAATATGAAGATTGATGTTGGAAACTGAGGAGGCTGGGATTCTGTTGATTTCAAACTAACAAGTTCCTCTGCGTTAGTTTCATGGATTCTGTCAAAAGTCACAAAGGCACTAGGTGAGAATCAGAATCAGGGGACTTTATTAGTCTACATGTAGTAACCACCTGTGTCAACCCCCCCCCCCCCAGTCCTAGTCTAGAGAGTGGCATGATAGGAGTAGGAGTCAGGGGCAGCTGGTCATGTGACAGGATAAGATGAATGGAAATATCTTACAATGTGTAATTAGCATTCCTCCACATTGCTCTGCAGGATGGACAGTGTCTATTTTCTAGGGCAGTTAGCAAACCTACCTTTTCCCCCCAAGGTTGACACTACCTCAAAGACTGTTTGCTATGGAAGCATCCTTAAAAGATAGTGTGGAGGCGGGAATCAGCACCTCTAGCAGTACAGACACATAATAGTTATCTCCTCACAGTTAATATAAAAATTCTTAGGAGGGTCTATAGCTCATTTCTAGATTATTTGCCTGACTTGTATGAGTGCCTGGGTTGAAGTGCAGCATTGCTACCTTCTCCCTCATACATGTAGTCCTTGAGTAAATTCTGAAAATGGATTTTTTAATAGAGCTTATTGCTTATAGGATGAAATATGCTGTTTTTGTTTTGCTTTGCTTTGTTTCAAACAGGGTCTCATGTATTATGGCTGATCTGGAACTTGCTATGTAGATGAAGCTGGTCTCAAACTCACAGAGAGCCACCTGCCTCTGCCTCCCCATTGAAATATGTGATTTTTATTATACTAGTGTTTTTATTATTATTTGTTCCTCAAGGCAAAATCCCTTTTTACACATCAAAAACTGACATTATGAGATGTGGTGGCAGCTGCCTGGAACCTCAGCACTTGGGAGGTGGATGCAGGAGGATCAGGAGTTCAGGGGCAGCCTTGCTGTGTAGCAAGTTCCAGGTCAGCCTAGACTTTGTGAGACCTGCTTTTAAAACTAGTAATTAAAATAAATAAGTTTATAATTGCATACTGGGAAAATGAAGTGTAACAAAAAGTAGGTCTTCTGGTTGTAACCTTAAGTTCCCTTTTGAGAATTCTGAGTATCTCCTGAATTTCATGTCACTTTGTGTGGGAACCAGGTTCACCTAAAGCAGCAGAAAGTAGCTTTCAGTCACTTCATTGTGTTTCCTGTTGTGTTCTCCAGGGAGCCAAAAGAGGGCCTCTGGAAATGGACTATAGAGGTTCTGATTGTCTGCCAGCATCAGGCCCAAGTCCACATTACCACAGATTCATTGATCTGTTCGCCTGGTGTCTCACAACAGCCACAGGCATTTTTTTCTAATTTTTCCTTTAGGCCCAGACTCTCACCGTGTGGAAGCAAGCTGACAAACACAAGATACCCCGGATCTGTTTTTTAAACAAGATGGACAAAACTGGAGCAAGGTATATGAAGAGTGCTTCTTAGGCTGTTAAGGTTACAGAGCAATCATGGCTTATAGCTTCAGTTTAGAAAAAGCAATTCTAAGTATAATTATATACGTTAGATATATAGACATATATAATATAGATATGTAATTATAAAGTATGGAATCTTAAAGACACAATTTAAAATAATTTCAAAGCAGCTCAATTGTCGTTGAGAGCTGCAAAGTGGTGAGCCATCTGGATCTATGAGCACATTTTGTAGAATCCTGATGGAATGCAGTCTTGCTGTTTCTACTGATTTTCTTTGGAGCTCTACAGCATCCCACCTTTGCTCCTGAAGGCTGCTCTGATCTGATGGCTGGAGTTAGTGGATAAATTGCATGACCTCATTATTAATCATGCAGGGCCCGACAGTGAGGACAAGGATAAGGACGAGGAGAGGCCCAAGCTGGGGGAGAAGGTAGGGTAGAAAGCCATGTAAGCAAGTCCACAGTGGGTTGTCCTGGAGGTCCTGACGTCTCCTCTCCAAGTCCTCCTGAAGCCTTTTGATCTTGTCCTAAACCATTCCTGATCTATTGGCGTAAAAACAGCACTTTTCCTGTAAAAACAAGCATATGCCTCCCTTTTCTGCTGATAAATAAGTCTAATCCCCTTCAGTTCTGTAAGACTACATTAATCAGGGAAGTAAGCTGCTGTTGGAGATCAAGGATAGTACTAGACACGGCCTTTATACCGTTAGTCAACTGGGTAGAGAGCTGTCTGTGGAGTTCAAATGCCATGCCCAGCCCTGCAGCTCCAGTGGCCATGCCAACCCAGCAAGTAAAGGAACAATCTGTATGGCTGTCTTAAAAGAGAGTACAGGAAGAGCCTCATCCCCGGGAATAATATCCACATTGGGACTCAAGGTGTCTGGGGCTCAAAGGCCCATCCAATTGGTGGGCAGGAAGTCATATGCCATTCCAGAAGGCAGGCAGCATTGAGCATTAGATTTGGTCATATTTGAATTGCAGAAAGAAAGATCAATGTGGCCCACATCTATACTGGATTTATCAGGAGCAAGCAGGGCCCAAACGCAAGCCCCAGAAAGAGACATTGGGAGGAGCTGGACATGGATGGGAAATGTGGCTGAGCAATTTTTTATAGCTGCAGGGGCATCTGTGATTGTATCATTGGCGACTGAGGAGGTCCACATTGGAGGCAATCCTCTGCAAGGGAGGGAGTCTTTTGATTCAGTAATGCAAAGACCATTTGTAGAAGGGACTCATTATGGGGGTCGGGGGCTAGCTCACCCCAATTTTCAGGAAGGCAACAAGGGTGATAGTTGAGCTCTGGGTACTAGGCCAAAACAAGTTGTTCTATTCTTTTTTGTTGTTGTTTTGTTTTTGTTTTTTTTTCCCACCTCATTCCCCCTCTGTTCCCCAGGGAGGGTAAGGCCCTCCATGGGGGTTCCCCAATGCCTGTATGAACTTGTTCTCTAACCTCATCTTCAACTTGCCCGCCCGGCATCTGAATTACCATAACCGATAGGGGGAGCAAGTTCCCAGCAGATGGTTTCACCCGCTGCCCCAAAGCAAGGGGCAGAGGCGCACCCTCCATCTCCTACAATCCAACCACTCTTACCTCTGGAGGTCACTCTATTTCAGACCCCAGTCCAGTAAGTCTTTTGAGTGGAATTACGGGTGCACATTTGGGCAGTGCCATAGCAAACCGAATGCATTGTTTGATAGAAAGCAGTGCAAGGACAGGGCCCTGGCTTCCCATCAACCTGGGGGATAACCTTGGGCTTCTTTATGCATATCCACTTATTGGAATTTGAAAAATGGGATCCTGATGTGTCAATCAGATTGACTGCTGTCTGGTACCACAATCTACCTGATGAATGATGTGTCCACTAAAGGGAGATGCTGACTATGTTCTACCCTGGCAGTCACAGGGTTTCCCCATCTGGTCATTCAGGATATCTCTGGCGTCCTGTGGGTTTCCAAATCCTCCATCACTGGGTGAGATGAGCATCAATACCAGGAAGAGCAGCATCACCCACATCTTCATTCCTTCCTGGGGGGGAAAGAGGCATAGTGGAACACTCCCTGGAGAAGTGATGGTCATTGTCCCTTTGTTGGGGCAATGACCATCTCTCGCTGGTACCCAAATGGGTCTCTTTTCATCTTGAGGGAAGACACATCCAAATCCTCTCCCTCCTGTGGGGGGGGGGGTCTGGTCCTCTCCAGACCCTCCTGTCAATGGGCCCCTCCGTCTGACCCAAATAGAACTGTAGGTAACCAATGAGGACCAATGTTTTTGAAAAGAAGACAGGTATTTATCTTCTTTAAGAAAATTTAAAATATTCACGGTGAGTAACACCCTTTTTAATTGGTCATGTGGGTGTAAAGATTCCCCCTTTTGTTTTTGTAATTGAGACTTGAGAATTTAATTGTGTCCTTCCACAACTGCTTGGACCCTAGGATTGTATGGGATGCCTGTGGAGTGTGAGATTCTCCAAGTCTTAAGAAAGCCCATAAAAGCCCTGCTTACTAAGCACGGGCCATTATCTGTCTTAATCTGATCAGGGAATCCAAGGGTAGCAAAGCATTGGAGCCTGTTTGTCGTCCCCCCCCCCCCCAATTGTGTGCTGATGCCCAGCAGGCACCGGAAATGTATCAACCGAGAGAAAAATATACTTTAATTTTCCAAATGGAGAATAATGGTATAACATCAATTTGCCAAAGGTTATTAGGACGAAACCCTCAAGGGTTGCTTCCAGTAGTTTGGAGGGGAGGTATCTGAAGGAAAGGCTGGCAGGACTTACAAGTTCAGACAATCTTTTTAAGGTCCTTGACTGGCACATGTGGATACTTGTGTTTAAGACCTCTCCAATTAATATGGGTTAGTAGGTGGAAGCATGTAGCTTCTGTAACAATATTACATTGAGACACAGAAGCCATTTTTATAGGCCAGATTATTTCCTTCAGAAAGAAATCCTAGTAAATTTTGATGACTCCTGAGATGGTGAAGAAAATGGGGTTAATCCTTTGTTTGAGTAGGGAGCGGGCTTGAATCATTAGAGGCGATATAGGATTGGAGTCCAGCTTAATATGGGCCTCAGCTAGGTTGGGTAACAAATTAACAACATAAAGGCTGTTAGAGAATAAGTTAAATAACTCTTGAATGGTGTCTAATGCAAGAACCACAGCAAACAGTTCTTTAAATTGTGCTGACCTCTCAACCTCATGGGAGACTGACTTTATGGGCACTTTACCATATTCTAAGGGAGGATAAAGGACTAGGGAAGCCCTCAGGCACCCCCCATCAGTAAACACAGTAAGAAAGCCAGGGTTGGGTTGAGGTAAAAAAAAAAAAAAAAAATTCTGGGGGCCTCCATTCTAACCTAGAGAAGGAGCTCACCCACTTGTGAGGACCATAGTGACTATCAACTTTACCCAGAAACCCCTTGAGAGCCATAGCAATCCTGTTATTGTTTCTCTGAAGCCAGGTGAAATCTGTTGTCTTAAAGGGAGTTACAATAAGATGAGGTTCTGTGCCAAACAGTGGGCAGAGGTGTCCCTGCCCTTAATAATGCAATCAGCAATATGATTGGTTATTGAATAAACTCTGGGGACACCACCGATAGAGAGGTGAATCCAATGTATGGGCTCACCCTCTTGTGCTAATAAGGCGGTATATAATGTTTCCCCAGGAAAAAGATAAAGGGTGAGGGGCAAAAGAGCATCACACCTCCTAAAGGTTGCTGGCCTGTTGAACTTTACTTCAAATCTGTAAATGACTGGGAGATAGGATTCTCTGTGAGGAAAGATCACCACCTTTTAGGAGGTCAAACAAAGGAGTTAATTCTTTGGTACATGGGACACCAGTCTGCCGGATCCTCTGGCAGGTAGGGCTGTGGGATCTCTTCCCAGGGCTGAGCAGGATGATGAGTGTGGGCAACCCAGAGCCCCTTCCTAGTTACCGGGAAACACACTGAGTCAGGAAACTTGTCGAAGCAGGATCTTGTTTTATTGCAATAGGCAGGACCTTATATAGGGCTGAGGTAGGGGATGGAAATCTTAGGATGGGGTAAGGTGACCTGAGGAGTAAGGGCCAATAATATTCCACTAAGCTGGCAGTCAGCTCAGCAGGGGGCAGTCTTAAATCAGGCCTTGCTGAGTCACTCTCATGTGGAGGTTACAGACCAAAGACAGGTGGTCAAACTCTAGCCAGGCTCAGGCAGTTTCACTGGGCCTCGCACTCAGGCCACTTTAGGCCCCAAAACATAGAGAATCAAAAGTATATGAAGGAGTTGATGAAATGTGAACAGGATTAAGAATGCTAAGTATTGGGCTGGTTGGTAGTGGCAGGAGACAGAGGCAGGCAGATCTCTGTGAGTTTGAGGCCAGCCTGATCTCCAGAGTGAATGCCAGGATAGGCTCCCAAGCTCCCAAAAAAAACCCCGGTTCGAAAAAACAAAAAAAAAAAAAAAAAAAAAGGGAAAAGTGGTGAGAGGGTAGTAAAAAAACAAAAACTGTCCTTCCTCAAGACCACAGTCATGTGTTTTGTGGTTATATGACTTCTTTGGCAACTCTGTTTACTGGCAACCCTTGATTACTAATGGCACAGTGACCTGGAGCATTTGCTAGACTTTGAACCTTTGGAGTTTCTCGCGCGATATTCTCGCCGGCAAGAATCACACAGGACATTCAGATCCTTCTGCAGGAAAGCTTTAATGCATCTTGAGAGAGGAGAGCATAAGCTTACCAGAGCGGAGACCCCGAGCCAAGAATCC